TAACGGTATCACCTCTGAAGATCATGATAATAAGGGAAATGATCACTAAATTATCCTTGTTGATACCACAGGAAATGTATAGAGAAACTTGAGGAGAATATGCATGCTGATATTAACGTTATAAAGGGTTTATTAGAGCCCATTGTTCACAAAAAAATTACCGACTAAAACACCAGAAGGAAATTTCCATCAACTGTCCCTTCCAATGTCCCTGCAGATGGTCCGCAATACATGGAGCTGGGCTGGACGTGTTTTTGCTGGACCGTCTCACATCATTCGATGTAATGCGGTCCGGCATCAACCGGTCCAGCCTAAAATGTGTAGCTTTCAATAATATGATTTCCGAAGAGATCGCGTTAGCGGAACCATACGAGCCTCTCCGAAATAGCGGAAAAATAAACAGGAATTGTCCCGACAAAATCAAATGTCAAATTTTGTCAAGACAAATTTTTGTCTCGTCTTTTGCATCCGCATGAAAAATTTCAAAGCTGTCAAATTCTGTCAACTTCTAATCTGCTTGAACTCACAAGAGCGGCCAGCATAGTTTGCCTATGGATAAGAACTCCGATCGTCAAGATTCGTCTGAGGTCGTTCAGTGAAAGTACTTAAATCCAAGAGTTTCGCAAAAAAAAAGAAAAGACAATTATTCTCCGAGCTCTGATAATAAAACGAACCCAGTTCAATTACACGTTTTTGGTAGCTTTTGTGACAAATGATCGGCAAGTTAAACACGGCTTTGTTTATTTGGTCGATTTTGTCAAGTCTTTACCTGGCTGGATAAATTCTGTCCTAAGTGCGTTAGGAGATTTGCCTCGTCCAAAATTTGTCAGGTCGTAACAAGCCAGCAGCACTTGTTAAGCCTTAGTGATGAGCACAGCCTGTTCCAGGCATTCAGTCAGTAAAACGAAGCGAAATAGCAAAAGGTGCAATACTAGCGGCGGAGTGAAAAAGCGAGGGAGACGACTCAAACCAAGCCTCCCCGTTTTTCACTGCTCTGCTACCTTAGCGCTGTTTCCTTCGCGCTTCGTTTTACTAGCTGAATGCCCAGAACAGGCCATGATGACCGAATTTTTGCAAGTCCGGAAAGGCTCCCAAAGACCATTTCGTACAAACTACGATCACTTCAGAAATCAAGAAGACTTTTTTTTCAGAACGTAAGTAAACCAAGAAGTATAAAGAGATCGGTTGATTTCAAATGGTTTAAATAAAGTAGTATTATGCGATCTTGTTATTGTGGAAATTTTGCCGGTTTTAGAAAAAGAATCGAAGTTTAAAAAAGCTCAGGGCCTGCTGGTGACAGGGTTTTCAGGCCCCCCCCCCCCCCCCCACCAGATGTTGCATCTGGTGAAAATTTTTTTCTATAAGAATCTGAATAAAAGAATCGCCCTCTCCGAAAAAGCCAAAAGAGACAGCAAAAATTGATTTACGAGGGGGGAGGGGAGAGAGTGCCGGCGGAAGGTTCGAAATCCCTACCATCAAACCCCAACTCATTTTAAGTCAAAATGATTTTAAAAAAATAAATTAGCAAGCCAAATAAATGGAAAGAATAAAAGCAAAGCAAAACTACTTATATCACTAGCAATGACCTAACCTCAGGAATATGTTTAAAACTTAACATAATTTAACGTCGAAACTTCAACCCGACTCTAATAGAAAAGACTGCACTTCATCCTTTAATTTACACTTTAACATCTGTATGCATATTCTTTATACTGCTCTCTACACATTTCCCTACAAGAGCTTACCAAGTAGTCAAGTTTTCTGTATTCGCATAACTTTCATCAGTTTTGAGTCAGTTGTTATGGTGCAAAGTGAAACCAGTCGAACCTGTATTAAGTGGTCATCCACGGGGAATGGCGCTTAATGCGGGTTAACCGCTTAATGCAGGTTCCACATGTTATGGGTATTTAAAAAAAAAAAAATAATAATAATAAACAACGCCTCTTCATGCCATACGTGACCACTTAATGCATAGAATCTCGCTCGAAAATATAACTCACTTTGATTTTGGGAGAGAAATGTGGATTAAAAATTACTTGAAAGATTATTCTTAAGTTTATATGAAAAGTTCCACTTTTTTGTGACCGCTCAATACAGATGGAGGACAATAAAGAGTGACCGCGACCGCTACCGCTTAATAGAGGTGACCACTAAATAGAAGTGAATATGACACTGATTAAGGAGAAACTAATTCTCTCTCTCTCTTTTTTTCCAGAAAATATGGTTTTATCAACTGAATTGATAATGTAAATTGGGCACGTACTGTGAAGGATTCCTAAAGCTGACGTTTCGAACGTTAGCTCTTCGTCTGAGATAGCTATAAGCCTTCATCCACTGTTCACAAAAAAGGTGTTTCGATATATCGGCTGACGAGATCTTGAAACGCGCTTTTGTTAAACATCGACTAGACTGTAGACTGTGTCCAGGTAACCGTAAGTGCATTTGGATAAGTGCAATTTCCGCAGTTTATTGAAAAGCAAAGAAAATTATCAGGTTAACTTACGGTAAACTAGTGGTCCAGTATCAGTTTTAGTAAACAAAAGCGGGTATCCATATTTTAAAATAGCAAGGCAATTGATTTTTCATTGACGTTTCTTGACATATGCAAATTCTAATACTTTTAATTAAAACGCTCCAACCAAGTGCGAGAATTGTTTTGATTGCAACCGCGTGCACCCTGCCTCTAATGGATCTCATCTCTCAACTAAACAAATACACCTGGACACTTCTTTTGGCAAAGCTCTTTTTTCATTTTTAATGCTTATTTGATTTTTCCATCGAATGATTTAGCAAGGAAATCCAGCAAGGAATATTATTTTTTTCTTATGCTATGAATAACGAAAGAGGTAAACTCAGAGCTTGGAGTACCTTTCGAACGCAAAGCACAAGTGACATCGACCAACAAAAACCTCATGAACTTCCTTTCGATGTAAAGATTGAATTAAGAGCTCCATAATAAACGAATAGATCGCTCAGGCATCGTTGGAAACTGATCGATTCCGCCGAGTATCTCGGGTACAAATTGTAAACCAGTATTACGTTGAATCTGTTGCATTGACCCTCTTTGTCCAGGTAACAATTGTAATTCAAATGGATCGCGGCTATATTTACATAAGCTTGCCGCCGCGGAAAAAATGAATATCTGGAGTTATACCTGTAGTATGAAGCAATTCGATGACTTCTTTTCCAATATAAATTATCTTCCAACAAAGTTTCTCACACAGTTAGAACACTTCGTTGGTGATCTGAACATTTCGAGACATAAAGCTTAGATAGCCTCGAAAGTTGGATAAATATAGTGTTACCCATAGCTTGGAGTGGACCGATGGATAGTCGTTGCTGTTGTGAATGCACACACGCACAAGAAAGAGAAAAAGTATATTGAAAAAAAGAAAAGAAAAGAAAGGAAGAAACAGTTACAACAATTTACAAGTCAAGCGAGCCGACTCGCACAGTAGAATTCGAATAACTGACACAAACGCGCGATCATGTTGAACAGTCCTCCCTTACAGAACAACAAATAGACCGTACCTCTTGAACGGGACTCCGTTTTGAAAACAATTTGAATCATGCAAGACTATAGTGCACCTCACTTTTGGAACAAGTCGTGCAAAATTAAATAAGCTTGTGCGATCCACTTATTTCACAACAAACTAAAGGTTATCTGAGTGAGAGCTCAAAATAAATAATTTAGAGCCAATTTGAGGATCACAACATCGCCAGCTAGCAGTCTGAATTCAGTGAGAACGAAATATGAACCACTTACCACGGTATTATTGGCATTTTTTCTGACCATACTCTCCACTTTCTCACGTGGAACGTCTGACGTTTTCAGCGAGAAAACTCAGTCATTAGGTCGCCTACGATCTGTCAAAACGTGGATTTTTTTTGGTGTATTTTTTATTTACTTAGCCTTTGTTTTACATATATTTTCTATGGTTACGTCCTAAGTGTAGGGTTGAGGAGAGAGTGGAGGGTCTGGTGAACAGCTCTACATGCTACACTGCACTCGCATTCATGATCAGGGCAAGGTTTTTAGGCTGTTTGGTCTTAAATCGGCTATTATTTTCTATAACCTGAGAAAACACAAAATTTGATCAACGTTTTCGTATTTCAACAAAATAGAAGAAACAACCTTATCATATATACCAATCGGGCGAAATTATTTGGGTGAATTTAATAACTTCTTTATTACTTCGAGGGGCACGGAAAACCCATTTGAACAGACACCTACCAGTGCAAGGTGCTAAGGGACTGAAACCTGGTCGCAGTTTAGCTTTTGTTGAAGTAGATTTTAAGTAGGGGACTGGTTCTATAACTTCAACAATGCACAACTGCAATCTTCACTCTGGTTTAATGACTTGGACGGTTACTATAACTTCTCACGTTCACCTCGGTAACTGAACTGCTAGCGAGGTTGTTACTGACCACGTTCTTCTAATTTAGATTGACCAGGACAAGACCGACAGAAAATAGACGATCATTCATCAAACTATCTCTTGTTCCTAGTTTTTGCTCACGTAATGCTTTACGAGTATTACAGTATAATTCGGTTCTATCAACTGAGTTGATAATGTAAATTGGCCTCCATATAGAGATTCTAAAGCTGATGTTTCGATTGTTTACCCTTTCATCAGAGCGAATTGTTAACTAAACGTTTAGTTTGACGTTTATGAAAATAATACGTCGATCGCAAAGAAAAATTTTAACTTATTTTTTTTCTGCTCCCAGCTGTTTGCTCACTCAAAGAATGCTGATGTTATTTGAGCCGTATTTTTCGACGGGCATGAACTTCGGGTTATGAATTTCTATTAAGGACAAAACCGATTTCTTGTACGCGTGACCGGTAGCGTGACAATCTGCGATAATGTGACTTTTAATCTTGCGTTACATTTTTCCAACTCTGACCAGTACTGGATAGCGGGCTCCGGTCTATCATTGTTGCTAGCCAGTCCCTCGCTCACCGCAAAATCTTCGATAGTTTTAACCTCTCACATTTTGTGCCCAAAAAGTGTCAAGAGCCCTTTAATTAACCACCTTCTTAATGGATTTCGTACAGATGTGAACATATTTGTGATGAAATGTCGTACTTGCACACCCACTGGAGAGATGTTGATGTAAGTTTGCCTCATGTTATTTCTATCGGTTCCGTGCTTACCAGATACCCTCCTCTCCCCCTCCTCCCGATCAGTCTTTCCGATGCAGCAAGTTAGGATATACCCAGAGATATCAAAATAAGCTTTTTTAAATGCTACCCTTAGAATATATTACCAATATTTGGTAGGCATCTGTTGTTTTTACCTGCTAATTTAAGATTGCACGCTTATGTACTTCTTATCGGAAACAGACGTGCCGGAAATGAGGATCGAAAAACGAGAACGATGACAAAGCACAAACTAATCAAGTTGGTAGACCAGCTAACTTGAGCAAATCGACGTGATTTGTCAGCAGTTGCAACGTAACACTGACACTGGTTTTGACCAAAAATAAACCCAGGATGAAAAATCTTTTTTTTCTCAAATTTATTTATATTGTAATCTTTATTATGCCAAATATAAATACATCAGTAAGGAATAACATATACAAAAAAAATTATATAATTATCATGATAACATGTGGCGACCTACAGAAAATTCATTAAAACCAAGAGCCATTGATTTTTGACAGGCTTGATTATCTTCTTAGCTGGCGATGTTTGCATGCTTTCTTGCTTGGTTTTCACATGACTTAAGTTAGTTACACTCTTTGAAAATAGAGCAATGCATGGTGAGGGTGTAGATAATGTTTCAGCAGGATAAAACACATTTAATATCATTTTTAAGGTGCCTCTTTTCAAGAACTCTCTTTTAAATTTATAGGCATGGAGGAAAGAAGGTCTCCCACTGTCAACAACAAGTAATGAAGCTGCAAAAATGTTTGATGCTTCCCTCACTCAGGTTAGCAGGGGTTTAAAAACAAGCCGGCAAACACTGCAGTTCTGCTGGCCACTTGATAACATGTCACTAGTGACTCTGGTCAAAATAATTACCTTTTGGTCCTTAATGAACTTTTTACAGACACATTCTTTTGCAGAGTCTGTTGCCAAAACTTCAACAAATTCTGAAACCCCAGTGTTAGTTCAAGCAGTAGTGGTGTAAATGTATTGGATCATTTATTACAAAGAAAAGCATACAGCTGGTAGTAGAACTTTGGGGAACTGGGACAAAGAGGCACAAATTCCAAATTTAAAGGGAGGGGAGGGGTGGGAATGTGATTCAATATGGAACATCTTCAGATTTCAGGTTTCTATAAGTCAACATCTTTGGGACAGTGCTGAGATATGTAATCTTTTATGTAAGATCTCAGATCTTCTATCTGTGGAGGAATTATGGGTCACAGCAGCTGAAATTAATTGGACATTTAATTTTGTGAGCTTAAGTTTCAGTGGATGTGTTAAATGTAAGTCATATTTATCTTAGATATAGCTGTCACTGAAAAATTTGGTGTATTATGTATTGTTTGGGTAAATAACCTCTTATATATGATTATATGGTTCAAAGGTTGTTGCTCATCATGATGATAAAAGTGTTGGTGGTCTAGAGAGTTCAGTTACCAGGATGTTGCAAGCAGATCCTGATTTTGGTAAACATCACCTAATAATTTTTATCAAAGGTTATACTTGTACATTCAGGCCATTTAAATTTGTTCTTGATAAATTTGTGGGTGTATGATAATTCACTTTAGGTATCTTCTGTAAAGCATGATGATGCAACAGTGCTCTGGTTCAGAAAAGTAACAAACTGTCAAAATTTGATTCTCAATCAAGGCTGTGTATGAAGTGAGAAAAATTATGCAATGTACATAGGCCCTCCAACTTGTACATTTCTACAAGGTTGAAAGAGAAAGTTATGGCTTAGAATTCTATACAGAATTAAGATGAATTGCCTAATTTGCTGCACAATAGAAACCTCCTTTTTTGCCATGTTATAATACTATGACTGTAATCCGTGCATTATTTTTATTATTTTTCAAGGAAGTACAGACCTTATAAAAGATATTTTGTTTGACCTCAAAGTAAAATATTTTGCAGAACTTTAATCAACATGGATGAAAATGGATGAATTGAAGTAGACAAATGTTACCTAAACAAATACAATAAAAGAAACAAAATTATAATTAAAAAAATTAATTACAGATGAATAGACAATACATATATGTTAAACTTTATTTTGAGAATTTGTTAGGTATGCATAACATCACTCTTATTTAATGTTCACCCTTTTTCTTGTTGCTACAGTTATGGGTCATGTTTTAGCATCTTTTTGTCTGCCTGGTCATGTAAAGCATTCTGATGTTGCTCAATTACTAGCCACGGAAAATAACCTTACTGACAGAGAAATGCTCCATGTTAAGGCTTCAAAAGAGCTAGCAGCTGGGTAAAGTATAGTATAACTAGCTGTTAACTTTTAACTAATAATTGAATTACATCTGACAAAAGCTTGGAAAATTTTACACTCAATTTAAATCCTCTTCACCTCCTCCTGGGTCCTTATAGCTTGCAGGGTCATGTTTTGTTCCCATAGGCAAGGCAGTTTATTCTCACTGTAGTACCTCTCTCCATCAAGGGGTTTGTAAATGGGTGCTGGAAAACCTTTGGGAAAACCTGACAAAATGCTGGGCTGAGTTATTCAAAGCTGGGTTAAGATAATCCAAGGTTAGTTGGAGATTTGATTTCAGATCTGAAAACTTGAAAAGGGAAATTCAGTAGAATTCTTTTTGTTTACATTTTGATGATGGGATGCCCCATGAAGAATAGCTAAAATTATTCCACATAGGCTTTTGAACAAAGGAATAAAGAAACCTGCATTAGAATTTATCCATGGTTAGCACTAATTAGCCTTCAAACAACTGGGCATATCATCATAGGAGAAGAGCAATACTCCTAGTCTTTCGGAAAAATCAGGATAGGCTCAGGCATGGCCTTGTGGGCGTAAGGACTGGTCTCACATTCCCTAATGAAAGGGTAACTGTGTTTTTCACTTTTGAGCGTTTAAACTGTGCAAAAAGCATGTGACTGAGTTGTTAAAGGTGCTGGATTTGAAATTTCAATCCTTTGCTGCATAGTTTAAGCCATTTCCCTTGACAATTTTCTTTTGTGCCTATTGAACTGTTTCTAGTTTCCTATGGTAGTTTGAGTTGGTAGAGTTCTGATGTACATTTAATTGATTAAACTTTGTTTCAATGCATCTAAATATGCAAAATTATAGTTAGTACAAGTAGTCATATATATCAAAAAAATGTTACATATATCCCTCCTGGGTGTTGCAGATTGAATTTTTTTTCAATTTTTTTGGTTTATATTTTACTCTGGTATAAAACTTTTCAAACTAGTCTTTTTTTTTTACTTTGTCTCAAATGATGATATTGGATCTGAGACAAAGTAGAATAAAAATTAAATTGGTCTGATAAGTTTTTAAGTAGGTAAAGTGTGTACTCAAGCTAGGAAGCCAATCCAGCCAGAGCTTACTTTGATTTCCATAACATGGAGTGGCTAGGAGTATTACTACTCCTCCCTGGATTGGAGGCCAGTCCATGGCAAGTTTACCCCCTTCCTCCCAGCTTTTTCAGGCTTCCCTGACAATTCACAGTATCCATTTAAACTCCTGTGTAAGGAGAGGCACTGTGGAAGAAAATAGTTTTGCCCTAATTCATCACCCCAATGACCAGGCAATGTCTGGAAACCAGACCTCTTTACCAGGAGGTAAGTGCATCAACCATAAGGCTCTACGTCTCCCTTACATCTAGGCAGTTCAGAAAGCCGTAAAACACTAGAACAAAAATTTATATTTCAAATCGGCACCCTTAATCCCCACGGAATCAACGAGCGCTTTTCATTCAACTAATTTATTCCTGTTTTTTCGTCACCATATTCCCACCAATAGCGTAGCTCCACTTTTTACATATAAATCCACACACAACCCACAATTCCTCTAACCTGACGAAGGGCTAACGCTCGAAACGTCAGCTTTTTTACTCTTTACGGTTGCTAATTTACGTTTTCAACCCAGTTGTTAACACTAAATTACCTGCGTCTCCCACAATAGTTTATCAACCGAGGAAAAGTGTTTGGACCGCTGGACAGTACATCCAGTCACATGCCACTGTCTTATTACTGTTGTAGAAATATGATTAAAGCACAAGCGATGTGGGATGACATTCTGATCGCATACCCCAGGGACATACTTGCACTGAAAATGCTTTCCAACCACAGCATATTTGTTGGACCTAAGGATTTGTTAAGGGATAGTGTGGCAAGAGTGTTTCCACATTGGAAGCAAGAAATACCACTATATGGGTACAGTAATGGTAATTGTTCTGTTGACAGCGTCAAGTTTCAACACTATCATGAGAAGAAGTTAAATTCAATTTTTATCCAGCATTTAGAAAATACCGCTTCGTAATTTCTTTGTGTCATAGTGTGCAAATACCACATAACCCACGTATAGCCCATCAAAGACTTTTTCTCGCCCGCGATTGGTCTGAACGCGTCAAGTGATCGAATATGCCCTAGCTAAGACTGGGGAACCTGGTGATATTTCCCAATTATCAAAGCTTACGTTCAATGCGATTTGAAAGTCTTCGTTTAAAATTAATTCAAGATGAGAAAGGGTTTTGCTGTCGTTGCGGGAGAAGCTACATATCTGTTTGTTCATAGATTTCATAATACTAAATAAAACTTCATAAAAGACAACCGAAAAGTGAACGTCGGAGCAGTAAACAGTAAGCTGTTAGTAAACAGTTTGTACTGCGCGTTGCAAAAAAAATTTATTTTAAATATTTATTTTCATTCATTAAAGATATCTAAGGCACAAGAAACATAGCACCTCCGTTTGGTGCGAGAATATGCACAAGTATTTGTCCTTGGACATGATCGGTTCCTTGAAGCTCGCTCTTCTCCTTGAACTTGACTCTCGGAACAGATCATGTTTGAGGTCAGGTATCCCTGCATACTTTCGCGCCAAATGGAGGCTGTTGTTTATTTAGAATACAGGATCACTTCATGTTGCCTGCAGTTACGTGTTACCTGCCATAATTATAATTAACAATACTGATGACGGTAAAAATACTATGTGTTCAGTAAGGGAGAATCTTATCGTCACTCAGTCACGTTTTGACTGAATATTAAAACAAATAAGGATATTTCCTTTCATGCGCATATTAAACCCAAGTTAATTAAGGCTCATCAACCATTACAGGTATCTCTTTGGTATGCATGCCTTTGGGTTGGAAGAGACGAACTTCTACAGAGAAGCAGAGAAACAAGCTCGCAAGGTACCAACAACAACTACTTAAAAGAATGTTTGTATACTATCAAGTACTGCAATAATATATTTGGTCTTTGTTCAGATTTTGGTTACCTGTTAACGTTGCAATCCACTAAATGCAGAGAGCGGATTAAGAGCCACAGATAATATGCATACAGTATTTAAGATGGAGCCTAATGGAAAGCCTTATGAGGAATGTTTATTCATACCCATGCGATGGAAAGGGTCTTCATAGGAAGAGAGTGAGTCAGTGCTGCAAAGTTGAGATCGATCTTTGAGCTGCCATACTTAGCGTGGGTGCATTTTTCCCAACCATCCTGTGTATTTCCCCCTTTTTCTTCTTTTCCCTTAATCGTCCATCGGAAACGTGAGGGGAACATGGAGAACACATTTGCATGAATTAATACACAGTTCTGTACAATCAGAAATGCAATGGTGTTTATAATAGATTAAGATAAGTTGTTTGTAAGTTTTGATGTTGCGCACGAGTAATCAATCCTCTTAACGAGTGTATCCTTAGGAACATGAAAAAGAGAAACTATGGGAACCAGGGTGATGTATGCAGTTTTCAAAATGTTGACCGAATATTGACGCCTGTTCATATGAACGGTAGGGATTGGAGCTGATTCCTACAGACACGTGGGCAACACATGCCTTGGCGCATGTTATGGAGATGGAAGGCCGACAGGATGAAGGGATTGAATTCATGAGTAAAACCGTGGAAAACTGGAAGGTACGATTTTTTTCTTGTTCAACATGTGCTTTAAATTTTTGGACACGAGAGATCTCTTGCTTTTTTGTGTGTAATGTATGCTTGTTCAATGCCTCACCCCCCCCTTCCCCCTTGGATTACGGCCGGGGGTTTATGGGGGGGGGGGGGGGGGGATGATGCCGGTGAAGGCATATCGATCCTATTTCCGTTAACTTGCCATCTTTCTTATTCTGTTTACCAACATGACGCTATCGACATTACTTATCCTTGTAGTATGCTGGACGTGTGTCATAAATAAACTTCGTAATAGGCTTCGCTCACCGCAGAGTCTCTATGGCTCAGCGGTAGAGCATCGGAGTGCGGAATCCATAGGTCTGAGGTTTGATTCCTCATTGGGACTCAGAATTTTTTTCTTTGTCCCACGCTCGTGACAAGATGAAAAACATCTTTCACTCTTTCTGAATTATGATATCGTACAAGTAGTCATTGTAACACGAAGTATGTTTTTTATTATCTGGCCAGCCTTGCGAGTCTTTGGCCTGTCACAATTTCTGGCACTGGGCTTTGTATTATATTGAGAAGGTATGTTTGCAGTAAAAGTGAAAAAATGACACGTTATGATGAGTACTATGAGTTTCAAATGGGAAAAAGTTTCCTCTAACCTCCAAGGATACAGCACAAAGGATTGATAGCATTTACTCGTGAAGTGATTCGGAGGGCCAAATAAGAAATTATTTGGCTAGAAGTGATAGATAATATGTGCGCGGAGCGCAAGGATGTTTTGATCCTGAAAGGAGAATTTGGGCTTAAACAGAGCTTGAATTAGTTTGTTTAGAGGGCACCACTGCTAACTGAAGTTTGAAGGAGTAAGTTGATAGCATGGCAATTGTAATCAGTTCCTCACTTGCCATCCCCCGTAGTTCTTGTATTGCATTGTGCATTGTTTGAGACAGAATAATTCTTCTGTTTTTTTGTTTTGATCACCCTTCTCACTTGTTTTGACTTTGTCTCTCATGTTACTAAACAAATAAGGAATTTGATTTGTCTAATTTTCTATTGATTTCAGGGAGACTATGAAGCAGCGCTTAATGTCTATGATACTGAGGTACGGAATTGTACATGTCAATTGAGTCTCTTTCTTCGTCAGCCAAGCTCTTCGCTACCATCGTTGTCACCTGGAATTGTTATTGGTAAAGTCGCCTCCGGCTGCTTTGAAATTAAATTTTATTGAACCATTGCAGATGGCTCCACGATTTAAAGTAAGCAAGGTTTTTACGCTGAGGGATGGATCATCTCTATTGTACAGACTGAAACTTGAAGGTCAGTTGACACAGTAGTGACATGAAAAGATGATCGTAATGATGCATGAAACAGATTATAAACCCATGTGCATTTTTCAGTTTAAGCTTGTGTGCGGTGCATATTTCTAAATAGGGCACGTGATTAAGACCAAAAACAAAAAGAGGGCTTAAGTCTCTTTCTTTGTTGGCAGGAGTCGATGTTGGAGACAGATGGCAACAGCTTTGTCAGTATTGGGAAAGCCATGCAAACGACCATTTAATGGTGGGTGATCTTGTTTGAAAAGATCGCATGCAGGCTTGAGATTTTCCCATGCATTACAATCGAAATTAACACAGGTCTGTGCTTACACTGGTTATCTACAGGCATTTAGTGATACTCACATGCTTATGAGCACGCTGGGTGCCAAAAATGAAGACTTAACCATGAAACTGTTGGATTCCTTGAGGAAATATGTTAGGTAGGAATGCTATCGTACTTGTGAGACTTTGGTCGTCGTAGCAGTCTCTTAGTTGGATAATCAATTATTATCAACTGAGTTTATAACGTAAATTGGCTACCGTAAAGGGTGTTAAAGCTGACGTTTCCAACGTTAGCCCTTGGTCATTTCCTCTGACGAAAGGCTAACGCTCGAAATGTCAACTTTTAAACTCTTTACGGTGGCTAGTTTACGTTATCAACTCAGTTGATAATACTAAATTACCCTGTTATACTCTACCACCGACGCATTAACACAGTTCTTATAGAAACTTACCCCATTCATTCAACAGCCTCATAGTTGTTTCCTTTGATTCTCATCAGAGATGGGTCAGGCTACAATTGTGAAGTATCACGTACGGTTGGTCTCGCCATCTGCGAAGCATTTGTGGAAGCTGATAAAGTGAGTGGTCCCGGAGAGTGAAGACTAAGAAGATTTTGGTTGAAATCAAGTTCAAAAGTTTTTTTTCCTGTTTTTTTTTTCCAGGGAGACTTCGATAAAGCTGTGTCGATTTTGAAACCTCTTCGTTATAAAGTAGATCTTATAGGAGGAAGTCGAGCTCAGGTAAGGTTTAAAAAGCATTTTTACAGAGTGCGTAAATCAGATCTCAGATCTCTGACATAATTTTGTTTTTTGTTGTTCGTGTGTCTTATGATGGCACAGAACTTCAACTAGCCGATCAAAACACTTCTACCGCTCTCTTGATGTTGAACGGACATTTTAGGGATCCTTTTTTTCTTAAATTCCGGGAGGCTACCTTCAGATTTATGAGATCTGAGCCGACAATCTTATCTTCCATGGATTCATTAGGTCCTAAAAGGCTGTTTGGTAGATATCTCAAGAGAAAGCCTGTTTAACTCTCATAATGGTGTATTTCTAGGCGTAGTTTGGTTGTACTACGTTCTTGAGAGAGGCGCACGAGTGCCTCTTACCAGGTGCCCACGAGTAGGAGATGAGCTGGCAATACAGATATATGATACATCCTACAGTCAATGAGCCAGGTTCCTGGAGAATATGATACTGCTTTAGTAACATGTTAAAACAAAAAGTGAAGGAGGAATTTGGCCGATGGCTTTTGCCCCATCATTAAACAAATGCAAGTAACTCGAATATGTCATGACGTAATATTTTGAGCCTCCTCAAAGACGTTTTTAGATGGAGGAAAACTGTGCTGCAAAACAAAAATCCTTGCGTTCTTGTGTCTGTTTTAGCGAGATGTTTACGAGTTATTCTTGATAAATGCTGCCATGCACTCTCATCGAAAGGAGGATCACCAATTTGCCAGGTAATCACTTAGTGTATCAATTAGTTATCGACGCCCCTACATTGTGTATCTAATGAAGGGACACGCTCAGCGGATTATTTCTGACAAATTTCGGACTTTTCCAGATATGTTGTAGTTACAACAGTTTCTCTCCTGTGTCTTGTTGGGTTCTGCTGTGTTATTAAAGTCTCTCGATGTGGGTATTAATATATTTATACTTTGTTCTAAGCTCTTCTCCACTCTTTTGTTTTGTTTTTTTTCTTTTTGTTTTTTTTGTTTGATCCTTTTTTTCTGTTTTTTTCTTTTATTGTTGTTGTTGTTGCTGTTGTTTTTTCAGATGTCTTATTGCTGAAAGGAAAGCCAAAAAAGATAACGCACCCCTGACGGACAGACTTATGGGACAAGTACTTCCTCTTTTATAACAATGACATGGAGTAATAATAATAATGACCTAGTTGACCAGGGTAAACCCATCAGCTGAAGTTGTTATTAATTGGTGCCCTGGGCAACTGAAAATTATCAGTTAATGAAAAATTAACTATTACAGATGAACCATCAGAAAAATGTAAAAGATATGTACAGTGTCGATGGATAAAAACTGAAGTGATATGTTTTATTTTTGTCAATCCACAGGGAATTATTTCGTGCGGACTCACTGAGCTTATATATACTGAGTCTCTCATCATTACTTACCTTTCACGTCTAATCGCAACGCTATCATCATCATCATCATCATCGTCACTTTATTTGCCTTTTTCAACTACGCAAATTATTTAACTACAGAATTCTGATTTAAAAAAGGCGAGAAGACCCACGAAGCCACCGAGCTTATGGGAGAGCCCACCTCACTTACCACATTATATTTAAGAACAAGTGCTGCGCATGAGTGGCTCAGCCAATTCAGCGATTATTCAGGGATCAAACACTGTTTAGATCTCACTTTCTTATTTAACCTTTCAAACGGGAGTTAGAGGGAGGAAGGTCTTTCACACTAGTACCGACCACACGTCTCTGAAATAACACCCGAATTCAATTCAGGAGCGAATAGAATTGAGCTTGCTTCTAGAAGTCAATTCTGAACATTCTATGAATTATAAGCATCTAGACCATTATGTCATATATTTTAATTCTCTGTAAATATATGAAAATGTAGAGTTGATTTTATTTTTGTTTGTAGCTGTACCTTTAGATATTTTAGCCGTTCTTTTAATCATCTTTATGTTGCAGTTTTAGCATCTATCCAATAAAGCAATAAAAGGATATTCTCTACGTGGTTAATATGTACCGGAGGGGGTTCATAAAAATACTACAAATCCTTACAGGGGGATCAGGAAAATTTTATCGTGACACAACAAAAATTCCCTAATTCACCCCCACCCTCTTTCCCCCCCCCCTCAGCGTTCATAAACGATGAACGCTCCTTTGAGTGACTTTCTCTTCAAAATCGCCTGTGTTTCTTTTATCCTCCTTGTAACGTAATTGTCTCGACCTTTTCTGAAAGAGATTCTGTCTGCCCATGTTAACCCTTCCACTTTTCAACCAAACCTAGTAAAACACATTCCGTAAACTGCAGTAAAAATCCATTCAGAATTTCCTCTTTCCCCCCAAAGCTCTCGAGATATTCCTAACATTTTCTTAACATCTGCATAATTCTCGCGATTTTTTTGTCTAAGCCTAATATAATGACAAACTTCCCTTTCACGCCAAACCACTTATTTCGTTACTAACTGAGTGACAGGTTTGCATGACACGAAAGCCATCTTTCTTGCGTTACGTTATCACTAGCACTGACCAAAAGAATAGCAGGCTCTGGACCTAAATTAGGGGGCACCAGTCCCTTGATAATTATAAATACTTCGCGCGTGCTTTGTCATTCTCTCCGTGACATTGGACAGGTGACAGTGGTTGGAGTTGTCTGCGGGGAAGTCAGTCGTTGTCCAGATTCGTGCTTGATTGCGTAGAAAATGTCATACCTACACACCCACTGGCGAGATGTTGATGTTAGTGTCTCTATTTGTTTTGCTTTAGATGTGATGCATTCGCCTCTACCTTCTAGTTCCGCCCTTCTTCCCAAGGGGATATGGTGTTTGAATTATGTGACAGGCGAACAATTTTTTTTTTCGCTTTAATCAGACCCCCAAAAAATGCTTTTTCATGCTTTTCGTAGTAGACTTGGAGTTGGTATCTTTTTATACTCGCAAATTGTAATAGATCGTAACTACATGAACATATATGCTGCAGGTCGAAGATCGGGGATCGAAGATCATTGTAATGGGGAGCTATGACCAAGCAAAAATTATAAAGAAATTGATTCGTAGTAGTTATTATCATTAGATGGAGGAAATAAACCACCTTGATAATTTTCGAAGAAAAAAAATTTAAGATTTTTCTGAGAGCAGATCATCACGATCAATATAATGCTAACTATAAAATGCTGCATTTTGTTTTTATGTCTGTTGCCGTAAGGAGAAGTAAGATGCTTATCACTCTTATCGTTAAAAGGAAGAAAAATGTTTTGTTTTGTAGGCATGGAGGAAGGAAGGTCTTTTACTGTCAACAACAAGCAATGAAGCAGCGAAAATGTTCGATGCCTCCCTCACTCAGGTTAGGTCAATATTGAAGGAGTTGTTAGTAATTTCAGAATTGCTATAAAACACATTTTGATGGAAAAAAGGGGACTTTATTTTCCTTTAGAAAATGTGTCAATATTACTTGTTGGTCATCCATATGCATGTTAGACTAGTTGAACACATCAGCAACCTGATAAAGAAAAGTACCAACCATTAATTAAGAGGTTGCTATCAAATTTGATCTCTGATAGATATATTTGTAGTGGACAGGTGGTTAAATTTTTTCCCTTTAATTATATTGGTTCATTCATGATGATTTCCTTTCTATAATCATTTGATTATTCCAACTTGTAACCAATAGTTGCTGTTTTTAAGGTTGTGGCTCACCTTGACTATGACAGTGTTGGTGGTCTGCAGAATTCAATAACCAGAATGTTGGAGGCAGATCCTGATTTTGGTAAATGTACTAAGCTTTCTTAATGGGCGTCCATCTATAAAATGAATTCAGATGGTCCTTTAGCATAGTAGACATGTAAAAATTTGTAAAGATTATTTTCAGAGTTACAGGTTTTTTAAATTCATTTGTGAAATAGTATTTTTAAAAAAAAACTGCATAATATGGAAAACTTCTAAACTGCTGGAAATCTTTCCAAATGATAGTTTTAAGTGCTAACTAAGGGTATTACACCTACTCTACTGGCATTAAAGTAGTTGGCACTTGTCCTCTTCGCAAGTGATCAATGACCATCAACAGAACAATTTAAAAATCAACAATTTTTTAAATGCATGATCTCTAATAAGTTACTGTCATGTATTTGAAAGTCCCCACATTTTCACCAAATCAATGTGACAAGAAAAGAGTGAGCATGTTTTAACATTTGAAAACATTAAACTGGACGAGATAGGGAGGAAAATAAAAGTTATTGATTGACAAAATTGAAATGGTATTAGTTGTGGAGTTTGCCAAGACTTTTGTCACTTAATTTTTTTACAGCTGATTTTTTTCCTACTTCCACAGAGGATTTTGTTGAAAAGGAGGGACTACTTACGGTTTTTCTGTTTTGCGTAAATGACATCATACTGATTTTGACCTTTTTGTCTTTGTCTTTTCACAACAGCCATGGGTCATGTTTTGGCATCTATCTTTGAAGTAAAGAATTCTATGGATGTTGCCCAGTCACTAGCTTCAAAGGGCAAACTTAATGACAGAGAAATGCTCCACTTTAATGCTGCAAAAGCACTAGCTGCAGGGTAAGATATATTTAGATGTTATTTCATATGTCTTATAACTTTATTTACATCTCTTATTAATTGAGTTTGAGGTCTTTACTGTAAGTTACAGACCAATTTTTTTGCACCTGGATTTATGTCTCAGGTGTGATAAATCTGAGTGGAAAAAAAGCAAGCTTCCGTAACTTACAATACAGACTTAGTAAACCAGGTTACTGGAGATACTTATTTTATCTCTGGGTTGAAATAGAAGATTTCAATTCAAAGAAACTTTTGAATTTAATTGGCTGTGCAGTGAAGTATGGCCTGCTAAATTAACCAATGAAAGCACATGTTCTAACTGAGAGATATAATAACTATCTTTACCAGTATACTTTTATTAACTTTGAATATAACAACCTCGACCTTTTCATTACATGTTATTATACTTTTGGATTATGGAGGGTCACTATAATCAATTTTTTTCCTCCTTTTAATCTCCTGAGTTTTTATAAGTGCTTAGTAATAACAGGAGCTTGTTCATTATACAGAACATGAATGGTACTTAGTTTTCATAACATCACATTCACCAAGAAGCTTATCATATTAGACTTTTATCATACTATAAGTGTTTATGTATTAAACCCTACCTGCTAATTTCTATAGTATGCAGATGAATTTAAGATGCAGCACTTCTCGTTTGCATATAGCTGGATGGGTCTTGAATCCGCAGGCCTTAGATTCCCAGGTTCTATCAGAGCCATTTCCATACAAATATCCAACTCAGTTATAGATTTGAAACTCAACAAGATCAGAACTAGAAAGGCAGCATTGGGCTTGATGATTTATTCAGCTGTATTCAGTCAGAATTTGTTAACCTGAATGGTTAATTAAAATGTTTCCAGCCTGTTTTCTTGTTGTTAACCCTCTAACTCCCATGAGTGACCAAGACGGAATTTCTCCTTACAATATCAATACAAATTATCAAGTAGACAAGTGATGAGAATAAAAAAAAATATTAAGTAGGGGATTATTAGTTGATCCAATAACAAATTCTCCAAACCGACATCATAACTATATGGCAGACATTAAGGAGAATTACTAATGAGATCTTGGGAGTTAAAGCATGGTGCCTCTCTCCACCCTGGAGTCTAAATGGGTACAGTGTTTTTTTAGCAAAGTATCTGGGAAGCCTTAATGCTGTGGGTAACCTTGCATTGAACTGGCATCCCATCCAGGAAGTAGTAATACAATTTACTCCTACTTGTTTCATGCTATGGAAACTGGGATAAGCTCTGGCTACAATTTAATTGGGACACTTAGCTTGAGAAGACTTTACTAACCAACCCTTGTTGTTAATGACTGTATAGAAATATACCAAAAGCACAAGAAATCTGGGATGACATAGTGATGGCTTACCCAACAGACATTCTGGCACTAAAGATGCTTGGGGATTATGGCATATTTTTTGGTCCCAAAGACAGGATAAGAGACAGTGTAGCAAGAGTGTTGCCACATTGGAAACAAGAAATACCTTTATATGGGTAAATTAAGTAATAACAGTACTTGTTTATGATTTTGATTCATGATTATATTGAGCAATCAATTAAAATTTCATTATTATATGTACACTGACTTTACCAACCCAGTAACTGCGGCAGTTGTAACTATAGTCTACTTAACTTTTAAGTTAATAAAATATCACATTTATGTATTTTTTTATCCTGTCCATATGGTTTGAGGTTTTCCTTGTATTTACTTTGATTAGGCTATTTCTTTTGTTGTAATGGGAATTATGATTTAATTTCATTAAAAAAAATAGCTGTTGAAATTCTCTTCCCAGGCTTAAATGTCATCTAGGCAAAGAGGGTTTGGGGGGGGGGCAGGTGTTTCTATGATGCAAGTTACCTTCCTCTTTAAGAAAATAACATAAACACTAATAATCTATGAGTCAGTTATAGAACCCCAGACTTAATCGATTCTACTTTTTTATAGAATGTGTATACATCTTTTAAGATTGGAAATTTTTATCTATTATCTTGATTGTGTCAGGTACCCATTGACACAAAATAAAACAATGTTATGTTAGCCATTTATTCTAAACCAAATGATCGTCCTTGACATATGGTATTTTTTTTAACTGCAGGTATCTTTTTGGTATGTATGCCTTTGGGTTAGAGGAGACTAACTTCTACCAGGAAGCAGAAAAACAAGCTCGAAAGGTAATTCATGGAGACAACTGAGAAAAACCATTTAGAAGTTGTTAAGTATTCGTTATAATAATTTCCTCAGTCTGGTTAGGATATCGAGCAAACTTCTTAAGCATAGTGTTTCTAAGAACAGTGCACTGAAGTGGAATTCAAAGCAGTATATGGAGTGTAATCATTATGGGATTGACAGATGAGGGTTGGACTCAAACTGAAACAAGAACTGAACAAACAGACAGACAAGCAACTGAAACACTTTCAGCGGGTTATGGAAATCTCAGGCTGAACACACTACCGAGTTAAGATAGTTGGGTTTTATCAACTGAGTTGATAGTGGAAATTGGCCACCGTTAAGAGCTTCTAAGCTGAAACGCCAGCTTTAGAAACTTTTTACGGCGGCCAATTTACATTGTCAACTCAGTTGATAAAAGCCAAATTATCTTGCAATAACTCCTTCCCCCATCCCCAACGGTGAAGATGCACGTTTAGCTGTATCCACAGACTGGCATAGAATTTCCTTGTATACGGTAACGGAACCCCGAAAAACCTTGTGGTACCATATACTGTACATTCTGTTTTCATTGGTTTCATTAAGAGTGCTTTTCGGTCCTTTTCGATTGAGTGTTGTAAAACCAAATGCAAAGCAATAACAACGGCCAATCAGAAGAAAGGAAAAACCCCACTGAGAAATTAATCAGTAATGAGTCAGTGAGCCAATGAGAACTCATAATAAAACCAAGTAAACTGCCTAAAGCGCGGGAAAACGCGGGCGATCAAGTCGTGATTGGTTTTTGTTTTGCATCTGATTGCGTGGGTTTTCTGGACCAATCACACAGTAAAGTAAAGCAAAAGCAAAGTCATCACGGATTACTTTTAACACTCAATTGAAAATTACTTTGACTGTCTACTTGCTAAGTCTCTTAAAAATTTAATTTTGAAACATGCCAATCTAAACGGTAGGGATTGGAGCTTATTCCCAAAGACACGTGGGCAACTCATGCCTTGGCTCATGTTATGGAGATGGAAGGTCGTCAGGATGAAGGAATTGAATTTATGAGTAAGACCGTGGAAAACTGGAAGGTGGGATATTAATTTAATTGTCTGTTTGACCTCTTGATATTTAGAATGAAGGCAATGTTACATCTTTTTTTTTTGTCTTCATTTTTCGGATAAATTTCTGGATGTTATCTCACAAGTTCTGTAAGAACATTTCCTAACCGTCTGAAAAACGTCTGATTTTGTCACTAGATACTCGAATATTCACGCCCCCACCCCCGCCTCTCTCCTTATTTTTGACCGTTCACCGCCCCCTCTTCCCAGCCTTCTGCTTCCATTAAAATCAAAGATGGCGGCCATAGTTTCCGTTAAGAAAATGCAGAGCACTAGCTCGACAAAATTACGCCTGCTCTGCAGGCTAGGTACTCGTAAGCATTGAGTAGCGGTCCAGTCATTTAATATTAATTGAAATGAATCTTCTTCTTTTCCTTGCCAGCCATGTGAGTCTTTGGCCTGCCACAATTTCTGGCACTGGGCTTTGTACTATATTGAAAAGGTACGCTCTTACTAAAAGCTAACAGTGGCGTGTGTATGTATAGATAAGTAAAGAGCAAAGTTACCACTTCTTGAAGCTTTAAGGAACCACCGAAAAGATTATAAATGGTGCATGAAGCTGATTTCAAGTTACACTTCTTTTATTTAGCTAAAGGTGAAGTATGCCACGAAAACCACATGTCTACATAAAATCTACCACCAATGTTGTTTACAGATTCGAAAAAGCAACGTAACCTTTCGGAATAAGTGCTAAAATCCGAGTATGGACGAAGCCATTTTGATAGCAATTCTCAATGCAAAGGCGTCGCACTCGTCGCACAGAATTGTAATGTGCGTGTGAGACTTTGAGCAGACTGAGGCGGACCACCTGCAAACCTTTCGCCGGCTAACGTTTCTCAGGACCTCAAACTTTCTTGCCGGCGAAGAAACGCTCGTACTGAAGCGTTAACTCGCAGGCTACTGATGAGCGGCCAGGTTGCTGAGTAACACTCATAATGGCAACGTTCGTGTCCTGTGTGCGTTTTAGAAAGATAGTGAATTATGAGCGTCGGATTACTGATGACTATCGTTTTAAGAAAATTTTGCAAGGGAGCCACAGGGTTGACAGAGAGCAACTGCATTTCGATGTTTCTCTTTTCATTTCCTTACTGATTTGTGATTTAAGCAGTTGCCACCTGTTGGGGGAGATATAACCTCATTCAGTTTATAACTTGACATCCAACGACTAAATGTGATTACTTAATGAAGTACTTTACAGCGTGAAGGCACCCTGTTTTTTCCCTTTATTTTGCGCTAAAATCGTTATGTTATCGCTCTTCAGGGAGATTACGAAGCGGCATTAAACATCTATGACACTGAGGTAAATCCACGTGTAACTTCAATTATTTTTTGTTCTTCGCTAAATTTCTTTCCCCCTTAGAAGACGTCTTCATTACGGCTGGCATGATTATTGTTCGTTTTTGTAAACCCACCAATTCTAATAAGATCGCTTTCGTCCTGTTCGCTGTTAAATTGCATGATATACCCTATTTGCAGATGTTACCGAGATTTAAAGCAAGTGCCACTTTTCCGCTGACGGATGGATCATCCCTGCTCTATCGACTGAAATTTGAAGGTTGGTAAACAAAAGCTGGGAAGTTTTCTTGTTTTTTCTTTGTGTTTTTACCGGCTCCTTGTATTGTTTTCCTTTGTTCTGGTTGATTATTGTAATTAATTTCAATCGGCTTTAGTACAAAAACAAACTAATCCAAACAAAACAAACAAAAAAACAAAGAGGAATAAAAAAATACAAGACGCGATTAAACTTTCTTATTGCAGGTGTCGATGTTGGTGATAGATGGCAACAGCTCTGCCAGTATTGGGAGAGCCACGCAGATGACCATTTTCTGGTAAGTGAATTGAATGAAAGAAAAAGCATTGTTTCTCTGTTTTCCGCGTCATGTGGTGGCAATCGAAGATAACACAAGTCTACACTTATGGTATCTACAGGCATTTAATGACAGTCATATGCTTATGAGCACGCTGGGGGCAAAGAATGAAGATTTGACCATGAAACTTTTGGATTCCTTGAGAAAATATGTTAGGTATGAAGTAAGTTTTGAGTTTTTACCATCAGCAATGGGTTGTCAGGGCACAACCAACACAAACAAACAAACAATCCAACGAACAAGCGAAACCAAGAGAAGAAATGGGAACCTTGCAATGATAACATACTACCAACTCCCAGGAAATAATTCACATACAACAGTTTCGATTATTGTCACATGAAAATCGAGAACACGTGAACAAGAACCAAAACAATGTATAATTATTCCCAGTCACACTTCTCTTCCACAACACAGCGAACCAACGAGACAGTGAGTCTGTTTGGGTATCTTTGGGGCACGTGGAGCTCCCAAGGGCTGGAGGAAAGCCCCATGGGACGGGAGGGAGGGTAAACAAACAGCTAAAACGATCGAACGGACAAAACGAAGTAAAGTTAACAGCATGGAGGTCTGGGGCTAATGAAGTTATTACCCCTAGGAAAATGAACCAAATTTATCTTGGTTACTCAACCTTGTAAGGTTTTGAGCTCTCTATTTTGATCATTTTGACAATATCCTTTTCTTTTGGTTTCTTCTTTCTAGAGATGGCTCGGGAGCGAATTGTGAAATATCACGTACGGTTGGTCTCGCCATTTGCGAGGCATTTGTAGAAGCTGATAAGGTGAGTGTATAGTGATGGTTTTCATAGCAAACAGTGCTATTGCTTTGCGATCGAGTGGTCCGACTGTCCGGGTGAGTGTAATCCTGCGAAAGAATGTTGTCTGTAGTGGTGACTGACATTTCGACAACCTTAGCGGAAGTCATTCATTCTGATAACGACTTCCGCTCAGTAACGTCAGCCACAGATACCGTCAACAGTCCTTCTCAGGACCACCCTCACCAGGACGATGAGACTAAATGATCACATGTTACCCCCGGGTTCAAACCATTTACTATAAACAGCGCTTTGCTTGAAATCAAGTTTACATGTTTCTGTTCCTGTTGCTTTCTTTTTCTCTCCTGTTATTTCTAGGGAAACTTTGATAAAGCTGTAGCATTGTTAAAACCTCTCCGTTATAAAGTGGACCTTATGGGCGGAAGTAGAGCGCAGGTAAGAATCAAAACGCCTCTTTGCTTGAGGAAAAAATTTAAGAAAGAAATACTGCCTTGAGCTATGGTCATGAAGTCGTGATTGGTTTCGGTTTTGCATCTGATTGGTTGAGAGGGTGGTGGAAGTTTCCTGGACCAATCACAGCACGAGGTAAACCTAAACCAATGCTAATACATGTAGCCAAGTAGTATAGTTGAAGCTGTAGTGGGTTTTACTGGAAACGGCTACGACCCAACTCCATAAGGCGGTCTTCCTGGGTGAATGGGCGTCTGTGCTGGAAGTTGCTAACACTCGACGTGTGCTCATATGTTTATTTGTAGCGAGATGTTTACGAGTTGTTCTTGATCAATGCTGCTATGCATTCGAAACGCAAAGAGGATCAGCAATTTGCCAGGTAACTATTTCGTTTACTCATTCCGTCGTAGACCCTCTTATTTTATTGGTCATATCTTTTCATAACATTTGACAGATTCCCGATAGGCATATTCCTCCGGATTTTTAAATTATTCGCTAATGTCGGTTTTCTAAGAAAATAATTTTTTTCCACGTTTTCTAAAGTAACTTCCCATTCATGTACATTGTATGTGACTTGTTAAAAGAATAAAGTTTTTTTTTTTCCACATTTTTTTATTGCCATTTTGAAAATAAAAAAGTCTTTACAAGACTCTCAGTATACTCTATTTACATTTGTAAGCTATTATTAATTATAAATTACATTTATATTTTTAAACAATTCTATAATTATATTTGTAAACTATTATTTATTATAAATAAGTGCCATCTATATAAGAACCACTTAGCCTGAAATTGTTTCTGCGTATTGTTTTTAACAGCAATGTATTTCTCAGTTCTATATTTGACGTCTACTTGTTTTAAGAAAACTTCACATTCTGGAATTTTATCTTGTTTTCGACTTTGCCATATATGCAATTTTGCAAGAGTTATAAGATAATTCAATAACTCACATTTTTCTAATTTACCGATATATACATCTTGCAACGTGAATTTTTCCCTTTTACCTGAAAGTACAAACCAGAAGTTTTCAAAGTTTTCCCAAAAGAGAAGAGTAAAAGGACATTCGTAGAATAAGTGATAGATGGTTTCTGTTTCCACTTTGCAGAACGTACAGGTATCGTGTAGAACATAACCTATCTTAGCTAGTCGCTTATTAGTGAAAACGATATCATCCAACAGTTTTAACTGAAAGCTTCTAATAAAGGTTTCCGATGAAACTGACAGAAAATTGAGAAAAACCTTTGACACAGTAATATCATCTAAGTCAAAGTCATTTTTCAATTTAGTGAAGCCCTGAAGGAGTTCACTATAAAATAATGAATTAATATTATAATCCCTCATATTAAAGGAATAAAGTTATGGTTAAAGATGATGGCCGTGAGAAGGGATTAGAGACCATCATCAGAATTCGTATGTGACATTGTCATAATTCAGTTGGTCAGGGAAAAAATTGCTTTTTAAAGGAAAGTCAGGGAAAAGGCTGAGAGTTTCAAAATCCCGGCTGACTGTAGGAACCGTGAACGCAGTTTTGTCATCCAAATTGCTGCAAATTTTGTTCCTTACAGTCGTCGCAGATTTTTTGGTTGCTCTAATGATGGTTATAATAAATTTATTTGATTGCGTACCCTCGCAAATCCCCGCTACAGCTCACTTTTGAAGAGAGCGACAGACTGGAGTGGAACGTCGCTACGTAAACGATAATGGCACTCTTTAATCCTTTAACTCCCATGAGTGACCAAGAGAGAATTTCTCCTTACAATATCAACACAATATCAACTAGATAAGTGATGAGAATAAAGAAAAATATCAATTGGGTGATAATTAGTTGATCCCACACTAAATTCTCTGAACTAACATGGAAAGAATTGTATGATTGACAGTAAGGAGAATTAAAATTTTATCTGGGAGTTAAAGGGTTAAGACTTTTTAGGAGGATGCGGGTCAAAACGTACATGGCAGAATATAGCTAGTTTTCTTCAACTACCTTTCTGATTTTTTTCGTGTAGTTTTGTTTGAAAATTCTTTTTTGTTTCTTTGTTGGTTTTCCCAGGTGTATTATCGCTGAAAAGAAGGCTAAAAAAATTAAAGCTCCGATGGCGGACAGACTTATGGCACAAGCTCTTGCTCTTCAAATGGATTAGGATGTATATTGTTTATTAGATCTGAAGAAATATTTTATTATTTTTTTTACAGTATGAGCCTGAAATACACAATCACTTAAGGGCTAGGACTCAAGCTATTTGCAATAGACTTGAAGCGCCTCAGTAACAACACATTTTGCAAGGGCGGATCCAGTAACTTTAATGGAGGGAAGAAGGAGGAGAGGGGGGGGGGACAGATAACTTTTTGTTTGTTGCAAGGTACATCTCCAAAAGCCCACACCCCCATCCCCTGCCCCTCCTTTCTTCATCAGGTTACAGGTCACACTCCTTTGAGTTTTAACTTTAACACGTGACCAGGTCGTGTAACAAGGCATCCGAAAACGACCTCTTCCAGATTCCGAAGCCTCTAAGCATATAACCTATTGAGCGAACTAGTCTATGAAATTTTCACCTTGATGCGTTGAGCTTTTTGCAGAATAGTCCTTGTTGTAGCCGGAATTTGTCAATGAACGATCATTAGTAGTGAACCCACAAAAATATTAGGTAGAGCTTTAATTTAATTATTTTACTAGAAAGTAAGCGTTATAAAGTTAGTTTTTTTAAGATTATTGTTTTTACACAACTTTAAGTATTTTCAAATGATTGGACCATTTAAGATATGGGCCATCACATTTTCTTAGACGTACAAACACTCATAAAATGATAAATTTGATTCACTTGAAGTAGGGAACATAACGTTTCCCCAACCTGTAACTCCCAGAAATGACAAGCATGTGACCTCTCTCTATGATATCAATACATTGTACAGAAATCAAGTAATGAAAATACACGAACTTATCAGCTTCAGAGGAATGATTTTATTTACACTGAATTCTGTCGGCTTATAAATAAGAAAATGCATTGAAGCCAAAAGGGAGTACTAAGCATCAGATCTTGGGATTTAAACAGTCAAAAACCGACAATTTTCCAATCTTGCTAGTGGTGTAATAATGTACTTGGAAAAATTACGGGCTTCTGATTGGCTGAAAACGAGTGCATTCTCATGTACACGAGTGCGAAGTTGTAACACGAGTGCAAACTACAAATTGCGCGCGCGCGCTTTCAAAAGTTCCTCAGTCTTGACGTTTTGTGATGATTTTTCCATGTACATTATTAACAAGTAATGGCACGAGTTTTCTTGCAATTTTGTGTAATAAGGACTTGAAATTTTTTCAAAGGCTACAAATTGCACTTGCCCTACGGGCTCGTACAATTTTGTTGTCTTGAAAAAATTTACTCGTGCTTATTAGCACCAAATTGCACTCGAAATCTTGCTTTTACCTACACGAAGTATTCATCAAGGCCGAAGGAGAGTAGATGGTAAAAAAGTGAAACCAGTGTCATCTTTGTCAAGGCGTAAAACCTTGTTGGTTTTTCTTATATTAATGCTGTGAGCGTCTAAAATAGAATAATAATGACGAAATAAAATAATGTAGTCCGTGCCCCCTTCTCTTCTTCCCCCCCCCCCCCCACACCCCCATTCCAAAAAAAAACGATGGGATTAAGATCATCTTAGAGAGATTAAAACTAGACCACAAATTTAACGCATATGGAGGTTCATGCAGGGTACAAAGCAAAACGCAATAAAAACTAATCCAGGGGAAAATCTGTGCAAAACAGACAAAAAAGGACAACAAACAACTAAGCGGAAGATAAATGTTAACCAATAATAAGGAAAAAACAAGGAAATAAAACAAGAAAAAAAAAAAGAACAAAATAACAAAACTACCCATGAAGTATCTCACTTATTGGTCTATCGATACATAAATCAAAGAAAATTTCGAAAATGTTTGCATTGATCTTAGCCTCGGTAGAACCATGGTAGCCTTGTGACTAAAATTCGGTGGCTTAGATTTGAGGGTTTTTTCGAGGACTTTTAGGGGGACGCGGGTCAATACAAACATGGCAGAATATAGTTCGTATTCGCCGACCAGTTTTTTAATTTTTCTTTAGTTCTGTTGTTTATGTTTGGTTGTTTCTTTGTTGGTTTTCCTAGGTGCATTATTACTGAAAAGAAAGTTAAAATAATTAAAGCACCGGTAGCAGACAGACTTAGGCACGAGCCCGTAAGTGCGTGACTAACTTGAATAGTGCGCTACTTTGCATATGCTATTATTGCGTTACTTTCTCCCAGTTCTGACCAGAACTATAGCGGGCTCAGGGAATGGTCACTGCTTGCACGAACGAAAATTCTCTGTAATTAATTTCTTTTAATAAGTCAAGGTTCGATTGACTTTCGAAGCAAAACTTTGGTAAAAACACCTGAAGATCTTGACTTGAGCACCCTCAAAATGTAGCTTTGTGTATTTAGGTGGAGATGTAGGTTTTTGTTTTCTTGACATGGAAGAGTTCAGTGTCTTCGATCATCCTGACCGGATTTGATCTTACGTATCGTTGTACTGGCAAGGAAATGTCATACCAGCACACTCATTGGAGAGATGTAGAGGTAGTATGTACTTATTACAGACTGAGTTTGGTCGGGCCGGACGGCAAAATATTTGGCTCGAGGTCGACATACGGATCTCGCTTAGCTCGTTTCGTATGCTATGACCTTACGCCAAATATTCTCCCATCCGACCCGATCAAACTCAGTCATTAAGCACATTATAATATGACACATCGACACGTGTTGAAAATTTAAGCAATTTTGTTTCAACCTAAAAGGCGCACGCAGGACAACCAGAAAAAAAGATTCTACGATACGCGAGGCCATACTGGTCTTATGAATTTCCTTAATTAAGTTTCTTTTGTTATGGTATTTTTTCAGGTCATAAAAGTCGTTATTAGCTATGCGATAATGCAGTTCATTCATCATCCCTGCTGAATTGCAATTTTTTTTTCGGTTTGAGAAATGAAACTGATGTAGGAAAAAATCATGATGATAAAAATAATTTTTATAGACCCCTTAAACACCCACATGTTCAGAATTTTCAACTTGACAGAAGGTAATTATGTCGTAATTTTGATGATTATCATACGCTATTTAGCATTTTGAAGTTCAGTGTATGATTAGAGGGTGTAATATGTTTCAGGAAAATTATTTAATGCTGATTGGCAGAGACAGACAACATTTTTCCAATCCCAGGGGCACTTGAATTGATCATTGTAAGCTGAGTGTGTGTCATCAGCACTGAAATGGTTTTGCTCTTGAAATGAGTTTCTGAGAAAGTTCAGAAATAATTAGAGCCATGACCTAATCCTTTAACTCCCAGAAGTCACTGAGAGGTAACTTCTCCATGTAATATCCATACACTATCTAGCAAACAGGTAATGAGAATACTAAAACTTATCATGTAGAAGTTGTTATTCTTGATCTAACAACAAATGCTCTTGACTAATTTAAAAGGAAATGTGTAACAGCTGGAGGGGAGAATTGACAATCAGATCTTGGGAGTTAAAGGGTTAAATGCAGAAGGGAATGTGAAGGAGGACATAGGACAGGATCCCTGAAGAATAGTATAAGGAGACTAGGGGGGTGGGGATCAAACTCCTTCCCAGGGTTTCTCTTCTTTTCTCTGTGGTTGGTCAGGAGAGGGTTATCAGTGAGATAGGAGAGGTCCTATTAAAATGTTAAGTAAGACAATCAAGAATGAGCTACCTGAGCAGAGGACCTTTCTGAAAGTGCATTGATGTTTAACCTGTATGTTTTGTAGGCATGGAGGAAGGAAGGTCTTCCATTGTCGACAACAAGCAATGAAGCTGCCAAAATGTTTGATGCTTCCCTCACTCAGGTAAAGGTTCATATTCAGGCAGCTATGTTTTGATGTTCTGTGTCTTTTGTTGCAGTAGACCTTGTTACCCCCCCCCCCCAGATACACTTGTACTAAAGATTATCCCTGACTGAGATGATATACTAGCTAAATACTATGTGTAGTTAGAGACAGTGTCAAATTACCTGTAGTAAACAAATATACCAGGTTTTTATGTAGATGCTCCAAAGGTTCACTTTGTTACATTTTACATTCATTTGGATTTCCAGACTGTTATTTATAAATGACTGTAAATATATAAAAATCATACATGTGAACAGTGGTTAATGAGTCAGATATCAAAGCAATATTTGCAGGTATGAACACTACTTAAGCAGTAGTGAAAACAAGGTCTGAAAAAAAAATTTAGTCCTGAATGGGATATTATTTTGTTATTTTGTTATTTGTTGTTATTTACTGTTATTTATGTTTGTTCATGTTTGGTATAATGTTTGGTTTTAAGGTTGTTGCTCACCTTGAAGATGACAGTGTTGGTGGTTTGCAGAATTCAATAACCAGGATGTTGCAAGCAGATCCTGATTTTGGTGAGCAAATTTTATTATGATTATTCAGAATTGTCGTTTAGTTCAGTGTTTGAGACTTACTTAATTTCGATACTTCAGAGACCTTCCACACACAATGAAAACTGAAAAGTTAGCTAGATCACATTTAGCCAGCCACTTAAACACACATAATGATATTCCCAACCATGATATTCAAAAGGGCTGCATCTTTTGGTTCTTTACTTGGCACATTTTGCAATTACTTTATATTGTTCTATTTTCAGTTAGTTAATAGGAATTATGAAAAACTTTTTTTAATCTCATGGGTTAAATTACAGTGATAAATGAGAGGCAGTTATCATTCTCTATAGCAAGACACAATTTTTTTCACCGTAAATGATTTATGGAATTCTTGTTATTGAGTTTGTTATTGAGATCCCATATTGATCTACATTCTTTATTTTGATCCATCTCGTACAGTTATGGGTCATGTCTTGGCATCCACTTGTCTGTTTGATATAAAGCATTCTGATGCTGCTCCATTACGAGCTCCAAAAACTGACCTTACCCACAGAGAATTACTTCATCTCAGCGCTGCAAAGGAGCTGGAAGCTGGGTAAGATACAATTGTCTAAGTATTTATGGCATGAAACCAAGGTAGTCTAAGCTAGGTAAAGTATTACAACGATAGGAGAGCGGGAGAACGAAAAGCGAGCTCATCAGTCATAAGTCAGACCAAAAAACCTGCGACAATCAAAGTAACAAACTCACAAGCATGCTAAAAATTATTTTCTTCAAAACTAATCCAGGAGTTTAGGTAATAAGGTGATACAACGGCTTATTCTAATAAGGTTCCTCGGATTTGCGAGTCTAGGTGGGCAGTGAAGTTATGAAAATAATATCATGTGTGTCAGTGTACCAAATTGACACATAGTTCCCATCATGCAAAGTATCCAACCACTCCTTTCTGTTCATGACACCACTAATTGCTGTTGTAGAAATGTACCTAAAGCACAAGACATTTGGGATGACATAGTGATGGCGTACCCTACTGACATTTTAGCATTGAAGATGCTCTCTGACTACAGTACGTTTTATGGTCCTAAGGAGAGGGTCAGGGACAGTGTGGCAAGGGTTTTTCCACATTGGAAGCAAGACGCACCGTTATATGGGTACAGTAATGGCAATTTCTGTGGTAGTGGTGACATTTTCAAGTTTTCAAAATGATTAATATCCATCATCAAATTTATCATATCGCTTTATCAATTTGCCTTGCGTGTGCCGTTAATCAGTTTTGTTTGAAATTTAATGGTCTGGTGGATTAAAACAAAAATGTTTAGTTGGACCATGGTTAAGGCGTATTGAGACTTTGAAATTATATGCATGGTGGTGTGCAATGTCGTTAAATGACTTGAGAGAGCCGCGGATGAACGGAGGCGCCTCCACCAATTTTTTTCGGTTTTATAGATAACCACATTACACACGTTTGGCACACGTTTGGCCACCCTGTTGAAAAATGTGCAAGATGTTGGATGGTGTTGGATCAAGCTTTTGCAATGTAACAACATTATCGATGTTGCAAGATGTTGCACGCGTTTGGCCAGCTTCTTCACAACATCCCTCAACGCGATCTAGCAATGTTGTAAGATGTTGCGTTGAAATTTTGCGTACGTTTGGCTTGGCCTTTATGGAAGTTGTAGCTCCGTCAGCGCGCTTGTTGATATGGAGCTCCGCTACAACAAATGACGCTGTTGATTGTACCTACGTTATCTACTCACACATTAAAAATAACTGAAGTTACTTAGAAAAACCATTTACACATGCATCAACTGCAGGTATCTTTTTGGCTTGTACGCCTTTGGTTTAGAAGAAACAAACTTCTACAGAGAAGCAGAGAAACAAGCTCGTAAGGTATGTTCCAAACGAGAGCAAAAACGGAGGGTGTGGGGATGTTGTATCAATATTTAGAATGGTAAGCTCGCTAATCTCGCGTGCTTGTTTGTTCCGCGACGTTTGAATTCCAGTCGACTTACGTATATAAAGTGCCAAACTGTAATGAAGCTTAATAGGTTAAACTAGCAAAAAAAAAAAAGCTTTAAAGGAAAACTACAAAAACAAAGAAATAAAATACAGGAGAAGTACAACAAAGCCGACAAAACAAAAAATAAAACAAAGCAACAAACAAACAAGCGTTAACCCTTGTTAGAGTGGAAACAAGAGAGAGAAACGAAATAAAAAAATGCGCTTAAAGATAACGATACGAAAACAAAGTATTAGCAATTGAAACAAAGAGCCAACAGAGAAACAGAGGGACAAACAACAACCACAATTACAACTTCTACAACTCCAAAAAAAGAGGGAACGGACTTTTCCCAAATAATGTCATAACCTTTTTAAGACCACACATGAATGTTGTTTTCCAGTTTCTGTTACTGTTTTGAATGAGGGTCTATTACAATAATATGCAATATCTGAATATTAATGGATTTCCTTTAAATGTTAGGGATTGGAACTAGTTCCAAAAGATACAGGAGCAACACACGCCTTGGCTCATGTTATGGAGATGGAAGGCCGTCAGGATGAAGGGATTAAATTTATGAGTGAAACCATAGAGAACTGGAAGGTGTGTGAAATGCGTTTTTATGAGATTGCTCCTTTTTAAGTTGTCAAGCTCCATTTTTTAAGTCGTCAACTCAATGTCTGTTCTTTGCAACAAATCGTTTCATGTGTACTGCCTCCATTACAAGCCACTGCGATTCGTCACGGAGACAGGTCATGGCGACAGTTTTGCCGCTTGTGACATGAGCAGAGGAATATTTTTATGTGAAATTCTTGTCTCTACGACAAAATTTTGTCGAGGTCTACGAGTTTAAACCAGTTGAATTTGAGCGACTGATCACAGTAACAAAGTTGCATCGGAAATGCAAAGATATTCCACTACCCTTTAGTGCTGACTGATCAAGAGTGGAACACGTATGTTTAGTGCCTTGAGATAAAAACGACGGAAATTGTCGAGGGCAGGGAACAAGTCATTAAGGCATTTTTGCGTTTCATTTTATTATTTTTATAACAGTTATTATTATTATTATTGTAATTAGTATTAATGTTATTATTATTATACATACTTTACATTTATCTTTTTTTTAAGAAACATTTGTCTCTGCTCCATTTTCATACAAATTCTGTGTGACATTTGTGTCCCAGCGACCAGTTTTCAAGTGTATCTCAACCTTTCAGACCTGCGAGTCAATATTCAGTTCACTAAGACAAACTTGTCTTTCTTTTCTGCCAGCCATGTGAATCATTAACTTGCCACAATTTCTGGCACTGGGCTTTGTATCATATTGAAAAGGTATGCTATCAGTTAACATTCGCTTGCGACAACAGGTAAAGATCATTTCCCAAATTTAACTTACGACTTTTCAAAAGTGAAATAAGAATTTTTTCTCGATGAAATGAAATATTATCTTGTTAAATTCTGATAGAAACAAGTTGCTAATCTCGATACAAGTAATCAAAGCCATTGTAAAAAATATGTGAACAGTGACGTGTTCGCTGCGTAGCTTCACGGAATCGATGCCAACTCGATCACATTTTGCTCCCACCATTCAACTGGAAACGCAAGAATAATGATATTTGGGCACATGGGCGATCTAAACCATTGTGCGACGTACCCAACATCCGGCACCCTTTTTATCACCTGTGTTAAAATAAAGACAAATGCACCACAACTTTACACCAAAACTTAAAAAAAGTGGCCGGTTACAAAAAAAGGGGGTTGGTGCCATCTAATGTGGTTTCGTTGGCACTTCTGTTAGTCCGCCAACATTATTGATATGTTTTTGTTTTTATGTTGTATATTGAACTGTTTAATTCCGCTCCCCCCCCCCTTTTTTTTCCTATTGAATACAGGGAGAGTACGAAGCAGCCCTGGATATCTACGACTCTGAGGTAAATATGTACGTGGATTAATCCTTACACCCTAACATGACTATATTCTCGATATATAGTTCTCTATACAATTCCTGAGGTGCTGACTCAGAGAATCTGTTCAACAATCAAGAACTTCTTTCGCTGGTGATCATTTCCTTTATTCTCGTGACCTTTAGGTTTGATTCAGGGCTGATATTGTAGGGAGAAATTAAATGCTCATCTCCTCCAGGAGTTATGAGGGTCAAGCTTTGTTCTCCGTTAGGCGCGTAGTCGTATTTCGTTTTCTTTATGTTTTACAATTGGTAAATCTGCTTTGGAAGCTTGAAGTACTTTCATTTCCCTATTCGCAGATGTTACCAAGATTTAAGGCTAGCAACGTTTTCCCATTGACGGATGGATCATCTTTGTTGTATAGAGTGCAACTCGAAGGTTAGAAAATTTTAGTTGAAGCTGACAGAATCCCTGCTTGTTGAATTATGTATGTCTATTATTACCACTTGTCAATACCTCATATAGCCGTGTGGCATTACCTTTTCGACCCTTCTCCTCTGTAGGGTATAGAAATGTGTCAGTTAGGGGAATGAAAATCTCTTTCATGATTCTAGCTTCTATTTCAATAGTTAGACGCGTGGCCAATAACTGCAGGTGTCTGTTAACGTAAGATGCTCTTAATCATATAACTTTTTGGGTATCCATGTCTTGGTTGTGGTTGTATTGTTTGTTGTTAGGAATAGTATTGTTTAAGCATTATAAGAAAGTTTTATTGCACGAATTTTTGTCACTTTTCAAAGGGATGAGAGTATTACTTTTGAGTAAGATCATCACTAGGTGCTGCAAGCACACTGTGACAGAAACCAAATAGCTAATGGGTTTGTTGGATGACTTAAGTTACGAGACGGTGCAAGGCACTATTTCTGAACATGATTTATGGGAACAAAGAAGACAACAAACTAAATGAACAATAAATAAACAATAGGACTATAAGTGTTGTTTTTGCAGGAGTCGATGTTGGTGACAGATGGCAACAGCTCTGTCAGTTTTGGGAGAGCCACGCAGATGAGCATTTTCTGGTAAGTGGCGTGGATGAAAGAGCCAACTTTTTCATGTGGTGGCAACCGAAAGTAACACAATTCTCTTTATGGTTTCTGCAGGCATTTAATGACAGCCACATGCTTATGACCACGCTGGGTGCAAAGAATGAGGCTTTGACGATGAAACTGTTGGATTCCTTGAGAAAATATGTAAGGTGGGGATTCTGTTTTCATTGATGGCCAAAGGGATTTTGAAAGCTGTTTGCCGCGATTAGAAACTAATCACCTCGTATTCTAGTCTTACTTAAGCTGTCTAGGACGAACAGTCTTCTCTAGAGTTCGAATAGTGATTTTAAAATATTTGGAACGGAAGCCTTTGATTACCCTGGCACTCCTCAGAAGGCCTGAATTGAATTTCGGGCTTTGTTAAAAATTGGAAAGGTTCAACAGAGTGTCAACTGATGACCCGCCCAAAAGCAAGCAAAGTCAGAGACAAGTTCTACAATCGTTATCCGACGTTTCTTGGTGTTGTGAACGGTTCTATCCCCAAATGACTTTCAAAAGCTTAGAGTTTCGAATTGAAAATACTCCATTGTGTCTTTTTTTTTTTTTTTCTGTAAGTAAAGAAATGATTCGCGTAGGTCAACTGCGATTGAGGAAACTGCAGAAAAGGGTCTAACAAAAAAACAGGCTTCGAATGATTCGAACCCAGGCCTCCAAAACACTATCAACTGAGCTACCGAACCACATTTTGGGAAATAAAATATATTGTGACCATCTAATCATATCTTTACTTGTATGTCATCTGCCGGTCAAAGTATGACTCATTCCATTTTATTGCGATCAGATAGCGTAGACCTCCTTAGGTGTGCCTCGCTTGCAATATGTGGCTCGTCGAAGCCTGAGTTGTTTCAGGCATCTTTATCTGCAACTTCTTCGCAGCTCACCTATATTAGCAAATCATCTATCATTCGTCTTTCATACACTGGTCCAAATTTCATGATTTACTGATAGAGACAACAACACCACAACACAAGAAGAGCTTTCCAACACCAATTGGTTTGTAAATACCTTTTGCTTTGATTAGACGTTGCCTTTGCCCAGCCTAACAGAACTGTATTTCATATTTTCACTTCAGGAATGGCTCAGGCCCCAACTGTGAAATATCACGTGAAGTTGGTCTCCCAATCTGCGAGGCATTTGTGGAAGCTGATAAAGTGAGTTTACAATTGTTAGCTTTCAGGGTGGGTGAAAACTGTGTTTTGATTGAAATCAAGTGCAAACGAGTTTTTTTCCCTTTCTTTCCTCAGGGAAACTTCGACAAGGCTGTGACGATTTTGAAACCTCTTCGTTATAAAGTAGATCTTGTGGGTTCAAGTAGAGCTCAGGTGAAAATTACAAATCTCTCTTTGCTCAGTGCGTAGATCAGTAACCCCTAGGAGGAATAAGCACCTGATTTCTCCCAACAGTACCACTCTGAATAAAACATTAAGGTCATGAGAATAAAGGAAATGATCGCGAACGCACAAAGCTGTTGATTGTAAGACAATTTTTTTTTCTTAGAAGTACCATGGGAAATATATAGAGAACAGTATGGTGAACTTCCATACTGATGTCAGGGTGTAAGGGATTAAAGTGAATCTCGACAACTCATTTTGTTTCTGTGGTAGTTTAAGGAGGCTCGAAATATCCTATCGCCGAAACTTTTTAAATTTAGTTCTCTTTGTTATCGTGATGAGGAAGCATGAACAGACCCAGTTCACGGATTTGTTTAACAATTTACAAAAGTATCTCGTAACGAGCTCATATGATGGACCACACTCGATAGGCTTGGACACCAGCCAAAGAAGGGTCGAATACATAAAATCTTTCTCTGCATGGGTCTCTTTTGGAGACTTTTTTTTATTGTTGTGCATTGAGACTTGATGTGGAAAATTACTCACGTTCCTGTCCTTGTCTTTGTTATAGCGAGATGTGTACGAGTTGTTCTTGATAAATGCGTCCATGCACTCGCAGCGTAGAGAGGATCACCAATTTGCCAGGTATTCATTGAACTTATCCAAATACTCATCGACCACTTCATGAGCAAGAAGAGACATGTTGTCGTTATGTGTATCAAAACAAGAGACACTATTTCACCACATCTCCAAGACGATGAACAGATTCCAAATACTTATTTCAAATTTCCAGGCATGTCTTTCGTCTGTGTTTTTTAAGATTGGTGCCAGGAAGGATCCAATCTCCGAACAACTGTAACTACTTACACAACTACTTGATCCCTTATTTAAGACGCTCCTTATTGTCAAACAAATTCTCCTGGACATTACCATAGGAAATGTAAAGAGAGCAGTGTGGAGAATATACCCACTGATGTTAGAGTGAAATGAATTAGTTATTGTTATAATAAATAGCTTTCCGATGAAGTGTCTAAAACCAAAACCAAATCAAAACCAATCATAGCAAGGAAAATATCACGACCAGCCTGATGGAACAAACATATCAATCAGTTTGCAGGTGGAATTCACTTAATCTTTATCTACGATTCGCTGTTCGCTGTTATAGTTCTGTCAATATTGACTGGCATGTCCCACTGATATGATGGTGATGTTGCTGTCTATATTGTGCATCACAGTCTCTGGCTCATGTTGGTACCATTTGTCTGTAATCTCGATATCATGATCTTTACAGATGTTCCAATGGAGATATGCTGCAGCATTATTGTGCCTGGAGATGTACTCTTCTTTTTATTAATATTAATATTATTATTATTATTATTATTATTATTACCATTTTTATTATTATTATCATTTTTATCAATATTACTATTACCATCATTACTATTTTTTATTTTCTACTTTTTGTTTGTTTTTTCCATTACTTTTTTATGGCTTTACAGATGCCTAATCGCTGAAAGGAAAGCAAAAAAGAACAAAGCTCCGTTGACGGACAGACTCATGGCACAAGCTCTTGCTCTTCAAATGGAATAGAATGCAAAATGGTTGTGTATGAAAATATGAATTTTAAGCTCACCTCGCCAATACTTCTGTTAGCCAGAACACAACAGAAAGAAACTCTTAATGAATTAATTTTTGACGCCAACACCTGGCAGCTTCTTGCAGCCGGGCTATTCTATTTGGTTTTCTCGGCAAGCTATGACCTACACGCTTTTCCTTCACGGAGAGTTTACTGAAAAGGAGAACCGATTTTCCTATGGATATATTGGCTTGGGATCAGGTCGTGAATATAAACTTGAGAGTACCTCAAGGTGTTTTACCACATCCTCGTTCAACAGTGCCAAGACTAAACGTATTCTGTAAATGTTTGCTCGATAAAGTTAGCTCGAATAATTAGTGTAGGTAATTGCATGGGGCAGAATAAAATTAAAGATTGATATCAAGCGTGTTTTAAGAAGTTGCAGAAATTGCCTGTGACGTGGGCAATTGTGATATTATTGCGTGATTTTACAAGGGAACTTGCGATCACTAGTTTATGATATTATGGGCAGAATTTTATGGCAATAAGAGTTCAAAAACCGCACGCTGTTGTGTGAGTCTATAGGAAGCCATTTCAGTGTTTGGATAGCATCAAGGAACTATAGAACGCGCAAATTAGCTAGAAAAAAATCTATATGTATCACTTAAACTACGGTGTTATACAAGGATTTCCAGCCGTGAGAAAAGCCGTAACAACACACGTAGAAAAATTTGAGATTTTTACACTTGTGTTTGATATCGCCAATCAGGTGCTGACACGTCACTCTCCTTTTGCGCCACTCGGTCAGGGTGATGAATGAACAGCAAATCCTCACCATTCTCAATCCAAGGTCGTTTGCCGGAATTTTCTCGGATTATGGCCGCTATAGCTTACAGACAGTGTCCTTTCTAGAGGGGAAAAAACCAAAATACGAACATAAAAACCGAAAGTTACGTATTTAGTGGTTTTGGTAATGGCATTTCTCGCCGCTGAGAACGAAAATCGAGTGCTGGAAGATTTGCTACAGGCCGACTTTGGCTGTGTACCCAAAAGATTTCTTCTATCGATGAGGACAAAGTCAATAACTGAGAATTTTGTATATTGAAAACTACGCCCATTTTGTTTTTGTAGTGATCCAACGCATTTTTTCATTTTGAGCCTTAGCGTCGACGCACTTTACAAAGCCGGCAACGGGAAACCCGAACGATGTATTTCTATCTAAAATGCATCTTTCCGTGGGTTATTTACCTGAAGAAGAGTCGCGAGGAGATAAGAAGTATGTATCCTCGACGTGGATTTTGGACCACTCGATTTAGCACGAGAAATATACAATCCGACTTGGACGGAAGTGACGATACCCAAGGCAATAGGGCCGAAATTATATGTGGTCTTGACTGCGTAGACGCTGGAGAAGACGCGAGCCCTTTCCACGTGCAAGACAGAGTGCGCAGATGAATGTTAATATTAAGATTGTTTGAAACCCAAATGATTTTTCCTTCGTTAAAAGGCGAGTTCAATTGATGGACGCCGAGCTCTTCGATCAGTTTCTTGCAACTGAAGAACGATTAGGATTCCTCGCCTCAGGTTGGTTTTCAACTCAAGAAGTTCAAAAGAGAGCTGCATATATTGTTGTAATTCTAGAAATATTGACTCGAACTTAGAAGGACTTGAACTTGAAGAGCGTATAAAGTCATTTACTATCGTTCAACCGGAACTCCCCGATATGTGGATCTATCTTTTTTTTTTTTTGCTATTTTTTCGCGGACAAAAACGGAAAGATTGAATGAGCATGACAATAGCTTAAAAGACGCGTTCTAAGCTATTCGCTCCGCTGAGTAAGAAATATTCAAACGGGATTAAGCTCGATTCTTATTGAATTATGAAACATAAACCATGCTATTTTCCCTTCTACTATAGAGGTCGTATCAAATGAGTTCAAGTCGCGGCTCTGTATCCGATGAATGGTTGCACATCGGGGCAAAGCAGTAAACCATTTAAGCGCGTAAAGTTTTTAAAGCTTTTTAAAGAAGGCGATCACTTTGAAGAAGTAATTGACCCTTTTATCTTCTATTAGCCTTGGAAACTTCCTTTGTTGCAAAACACAGTTAATAAAGTCTTTTTGACCTCAACACAATGGCTGCGTGACCCACGCGCAAGAGATAATCCGTGATGTTAAAAGCTGGTTTTTTTAGCGCCATGGTAACGTGACTGGAACGAGTATGTTCAGACTAGTGCCCGTTCTTAAGAACCGAGCACAGGTACCTAATCTGAACTGGGCCAAAATTAGCAAAAGTTCATTAGAAATCCAATATTTTAAGCAACCAATATACATAGTCACTAATTCGTCACCTGAGGTTTAGAATTTCAGGTGTTCGGTCGACGAATGATTTGAGCAAACAGAGGGAGAAGTGTAAGGTATGCATAAATAGTTCTTAAATTGACTGTCCGTGACTGTAATTTGGTAATCACTGCCTTACTTCGATGAAAATTGAAGACAGTTATTTTACTAATCAACGTAGGTTTCAAAGGTCATAAATAGTAAAGGGCTGGATCAATTTTGCGAAGCATCCGCGGGAAGATACTTTTTCCGGCCACAATTTGGTTAGGGGGCTTCTTTCATGACAAACGTGAGCAAGTGATTCTTTACGTCAGTGAGAAATAAAGAACCCATGCTAGTCCGCATGCTATGTAAACTCAAGCTTGTTACTTATAAGCAATTCGGCTTTTAATGAGCACAACGGATTAAAACTTGAATCGCTTTTAAATTTGTACCAGAAAGCTATTTTTTCCTCTCTAAATTCTACATCAAACGTTAAAAACATTGATCGTGCGTCTCTCATTTAGAGAGCAAATGAATCAACATAATCCCTGTTTCATTCAAAACGTGACTATGAAGTGCATCGTATTGACTCATTCGTGATTAAAAGACAAAACCTCTAATTTCTTCACTTCCTAATATAATAAAGTGACGAATTGTTCCTCCTAATTACGAGAGCAAAAAAAAAATAACATAATTTCTGTTTCGTTCAAAACGTGACTAAGGAGTGCAACGTGTATTCACTCATTCGTGATAAAGTCTGAAATTTCATTAGTCCTCGATCGAGTGACGAATTATTTATAGAAAACGCCGGCAAAAGTAGTTCTAGATTGAAGATCGGTTCACAATGACTCACGGAGAACTCTCAGTTACCTATGCTTTCTTACATTCAGTGTATAACTTAACTGCTTAGTTTAAAGCTGAGGCTTTAAGACCGGTTTCATAGAGTTAACATAAGTTTCATTAAGAGATTAATGTCCTCATTATTTTCGCTTGGTTTCATCGATCACGAAAATCACAATCAAACATCGCTATTCTAAATCAGCGATAGTATCGAGTACTTACTTTATTTAGCGTACAATGCAATATAGAGCGTTTGTCAAGGAAGGTGCCAGAATCACGCATTACTTGCCTTTGTTCGTGCTTTCTTGCTTTGCTTAGTTTAGCGTCATTCAGTCTTATATTGTGTGCTCCTTGTGTTGTTTTTTTATATTAGGTTTTATTGTGAATTTTGTGTATCTTGGCCTGGTTTGTTATTTTTTGGTAGTTCAGCGCAGTTCTGCGTCTGTTTGATTCTTGGGTAGATTCAATTGGATCAATTCGTTTGCTTTGATAGTTGAAATAAATAAGGCGCATAAAGACACCACAGTCAGCTGATAGAGCTTTTGTTTACATTCAGAGTGCATTTTCACACTCCCTTTCCTTTTTCAACTATTTTTCTTTCTGATAAAACAGCGCCATCCCAGCTCCTCTCTATGGCAAAATTTGGAGTTTCATTTTCTGGCGGCGGTACTCGGTCAGCGGCGTTCTGCTCAGGGGTATTACGCAGATTGCTACAGAAGGAAGTGCAAATAGATTACCTGAGCTGTGTATCAGGGGGTGGTTGCTCTGGCTCCGCCTACGTGGACTGGAAATACAGACATGGAAAGAAAGACAACAAGAAGTGGCATCAGGAGTATTTTAACCATTTGAGAGAAAATGCCGGCTTGGTGTGCAACTTTCAAAAGCCATGCCGTGGATTTGCGGAATTTGTGGTCATTTGTGCCATGATATTATTTGTATCTGTCATAGCTCCTTTCATTCTTTGGGGTTCATACGCCTATCCGTTGGCCTTCGTCATCGATTATGTGTTTGGCGATGTTCTCAGGGGCGGCACACGTTCGTGTCAGGAAGTTGCAAGCGAAAGCCCGAACATAACATTCGAAGACTGCGAAGAGAGCCGTCAAACGCCATACATTATGAATCGCCGTTTTGCTCTATTTGCCGCGCCCCTTGTCTTTGCTTTCACATGCTTACGCACACCTACGCGCAATCAACTTTATATAAAAGGTAAAATACTTGCTGCCTTGAACAACCGCGGGGGCTCGCGGACGGCTAGGCGGCCAGTTGAGGCAAATTGCAAGTCGGCAATTTTTAAGGGTTAGGTAATAAGTGGCTAGAAATGCATTCTATAGACAGCTGTTGCCCTACTTGATTATATTTGTTCTTTATTTTTGTCAGATTTAAGGTACATTATTATGATAAGAACGTTAACAGCGACGGGAAGACTAAAGTTGGCGAAGGGGATATCCTATACATAGTTCCCAGGCATCCTGAAAAAGCAGTGAAAACTTCGTCTTATGTGACCTGGAAGGAAGCGTTGCGTGACACGGATGGAGATCTGGAGGCTGGTCTTTGGGGGCCTGGTCCCGAGCTGTCATCGGAAGAGGCCAATCGTTTGACGTTCTGTTGCTGTGAATGTTGCCATGGGAATACACGTCGCAGCTTGTCTGAGGCGTTATGTGGGATGTTCCCACATCACTCTACTAACCATCAGTTCTTTACACCAACAATGTTCACTGCTTACCATAGGGAGGGATATCGCGCTGGCATGGAGGCGAAAGTAGCTGAGTTTGTGCCTAATAGGCATGAACCTTCCACTTCAGAGACTATCTTAATATGAATATTGATGAATAACGTGTAAACTTCTTGTAGGTTGAGAATTAACTCTTTCTTTATGACTAAGTAACCTACATGTGTAACCAAATTAAATAGGATGTCGAACAATAAATCGACTAAAACACCATTACTATAGAACTTGAGTCTACATTGGTGTTCTCCTTTTTGCATAATGACATGCAATGGTTCTGCTATAATTACAGTTTCATGAAACTAAAATAATGGTGTAAAAATAATTACAGTCAAAAGTCATCAAATCCTGGTTGTAAGGTCTCGATGAAACCATAGCAACACTGAATTTTATTTTTTGCACTCGTGTTTTGCATCCTAGTCTCAAATTTAAGGGTCTGGCGACGACTTTACTCCACGTGTAGAGCTAGGGCCTGCCCCATGAGTCGGTCTGTCATTGGAGCGTTTTCTTTCATAGCCTTCCTCTCTGTTAATAAGCTCCTGAAAGAAGACAATACATACATTCTTAAAGGTTGATTTCGCAGGCTTTTTTCGGAAAAATAGCATTTATTTTACAGGCCTTTTTAGATGTTTGGTAGTTACACAACCAATCGGTGAACAAAGGTGAGCAGCAAAAGATACAGATTAAAAATATTATGTATTGCTTTGTTTTGTTTTGAGATGAAAAAGGACACATAATTAGTTGACACATCATGTTTGAACTCCTGTTTCTGCCACAGTCCAAATCATTGACAAGACCCCCTTCCCTATTCAATGTTGCCTGTATGTAACTTAAGATTCATGGAATCACGATACAACATTGTTTTTTTTCGGTGGGGGGGGGGGGGGGGGGAAAGGGATGCGAATAGGTTGACTTAACAAGGGCAAAGGGGTAATATGGAATTAATAAGAGGCTGAAAAGGTCAATGTTTAAACAGCTTTGGCGCCGAATGTAGGTTGTATTTAGCCTAAGTGCCGCAACAGTGAAGCAACGCTTGACGCTTTGTTAACAAAAAAACTCACTTTTCCGAAGGCTCAGCCCAAGCAATGCTAAACAGTATTCAGATAAATTCGGTTACATTTCACGCATAAGATGAAACTCTAAGGTGATAAGAGAAGATAGGGATTCGAATAAATGAAACTATACTTTACCTCGCCAAGTAATGATGCTCTTTACGTGAAGAATGTAGAGCAGCGTAAATTAGGAATAAGCTGAAGATGTCCCGCTGTAGGTAAAACGAAAGAAGCAGGACGAGATCTCACAAAAATTTTGCACTCATATGCGTGAATTTGCAATAAAATTCACAAACCTGTGCATTACTGCCTCCAATGGTGACTACATCATAACGGAGCGGTTTTAAAATGTCCACAGCTTTGTCGAAGTTTCCCTTTCACATAGAAAAAAAATTAAACTTCTTGTCCTAGATCAGCGTTTTGTGTGTGTTGACCTGTTAATTTGCTTGTTTGTTTTCAAATTTTATAAGTTTACCTCGGAGGTTATCAATAGCAAGAGATTGAACAGTTTGAATTCTAAAATCCAACGATGAGATGCGGCTCCAAACTATTTCATAACTAACACTCCCCCGTCCCCTTCGCAACAACAACAAAAACAACAATATCAATAGGGAAAAGTGAAGCAACATCGATGCAATCAAGGTCAATTTTCATCACTTCACTGATGATTTCTCAACCTAACAGCAAAACCGAGCAAACAGTGTCAACGACATAAGACTTGATCGTAGTTATGGAAGGAAGAACTCCTTTTCACTTAACTTAATTAATTGATCCAGTCAAAAGTTTGATAAGTTTTAAGGGAGACGAAGCTGGGAGACCACAAAGGAGACGAATTTACCTTGTCGGCTTGTTCAAAAGCTTCACAGAGGGCCAGACCAACCCCCCTAGACACTTCGCAATTTGTTCCTGAGCCATCCCTAGAGAAAAAAAGAAGAAAACAACACAAAACATAAACAACATAAAAAGAGACATCATATGGCTGAGCCATAATTATGATCGATTCAAAGTCTTAAGGACAGTATCGTTCAAATATCGCCGAGATATCGCGATTATCGTTTCCATTACTTTCGCACAGTACTGCATAACACGAGTCATGAGTAACAAACCTAATGAAACGTAACTCAGTGTCTGATGCCAACGTTTACGTAACCTGCAGAGCAGGCGTAATTGTGGCAACATTGGGCTCATTATTTCCTTGGAGAAAATTTTAACTGCCACCTTTGATTTTTACGGCAGCAGAAGGTTTGGGAGGGAAAGAAATTTGCACAAAGTGACCCTTTCAATTAAAAATAGTCCCTTGAGATAATTTTCACGAGCACCTATTGGAAAACCAAGCCTCTTTTCGGGAAATTGAACACGAAATTCCTGCTCACTTGCAACAGTTTCTTCTGGGATAGTGCTCGGTGAAGGAGCCTGACGTTACCGTTACTGTTATAAATATAAAATTAAGCTCTAGATGTATTTTAGAAGAAATGAGTCCTGTAAATAAATCAGAACGCAGCAAATCTATCGACTATTGAAAGATAACTAGACCCTCCACTATTGACAGAGGTGATTGATCTGAGTGTTTTACCATAATTCTTCCATATTACCTCACATAGTCTCTAAGTGACATCATTAGATTCAGTGTAGCATCTTCCTTCTTAGCCCCCAGAGAACACATTAACATATGAACATCATTGAAAGCCTGAGATAGAAAAATAATTTAAAAAAAAGAAAATGAAGGACATGTGTTGGTATATTGGTCACCGACCTAAACTTTGGGTGAGAAGAAGTCCGGGTGAAAGCAATGGCAGGTACTATTCCTTGTTCAAGACCAGCAACGAGTATAGAGCCCTTTACGATCGAATATTGTGAAAATAATCAAAAAGTAATCACAACAGCCAATCAGCGGAAAGAAAAATACCACAAGGAGCCGATGGAAACTGAAAATAAAGCAGACTGCCTGAAGCGCGGGAAAACGCTGGTGACCAGGTCGTGATTAGTTTAAGGTTTGCATCTGATTGGTTAAAAAACGTAGCGCAAAATGCCTGAAGCGCGGGAAAACGCTGGTGACCAGGTCGTGATTAGTTCAAGGTTCGCATCTGATTGGTGTAAAACGTGGCGCGGGTTTTCTGGTCCAAGCACACAATAAAGTTCACCAACCCTAACTGACAAAGCAATGGTTGACTAGTTTTGAAACGCAATTGGAAACTGTCACTTCCGCCGGATTGTCCATATGCTGGGAGTTCCAAGAGACGAACATCATCTTTTTGGGATTAAAACGCTATCACTTTCATTTTCTGTGAACGCTTCATCACACCACCTCACTGGAATTGGCAATTTGCAAGGTTTGTTTACATCGCACTGCACACTTGCGACTGTCCTCCATTTTCTAATGAAGATCATAATACCTTGTATGCAAAACCTGCTCGCAAAGCATGACACATACCAAAATATGATCATCTGTGTGTGACTCCCACAAATGAAACAGCTCTCTCCACCGATCATTTACATTAACACCTTAAAAAAATAAAAAACAAAACAAGAAGAAAATAGATCAAGTCGTTAATTCGACCACGGCAAAATTTTCATTATACAATAATTCCAGTACAGAGATTTATTACTTAAATTATTTGCCTTGATTGACAGAGTTATAAATTGTGTGAATAATTGATTGGTTCATTTGTTGATTAATTGACTGAATGGTTAAATAATTAATCAAATGACTGCCAAATGAATAGATGGACTGATTGTTCGTTGATTCATTGATAAAGTGTTCAATAGATCGAACGATTGAAGGATCCATTATTAATAATGATGTGCACAACATATCAGCGCGTTATCTCACAACCTTCCATCTGAAGTCTGTACAGCAGTGAAGAGGCGTCCACTAAGTCAAGCATGGCGCCAGAATGACAACGTTTTCCAACCTTGGAGCGAGAGAGAAAAGCGTGATAGTTATCTTTTAAATAAAACCTTAACGAGAGCACTGTGATATCCATGTTTCATCTAGATGCGCAATACTGTGCTTCATATATGTACAGAGAAAGAAATGCTACTTTATTCTCCTAAGAACTGTGCGAATTAAATAAAAACAAAAATGATAAAAATGACTTTTTGTTACTATTTTGACATGTATGTCGTGTATGTGTCAATCAGATATGGCCTAAAATTTTTCTTCGAAGATTTTATACTGTACCTCCTCGTCATAAATGTCCACTGCAGCTTGATGTTCTCCCTGGAAAAGAAAGAATGGTGTTTAATCGCAAACATGGCTGAAAAAAGAGAACCAGACAACTTTAGAAAAAGTGAAAAAAAACCTTTTCGATGTGATACAATGCCCAATGCCAGTAGTTGTGACAGGCTAGCATAGCTCCCATCTACACAGGGTGAAAGAAGAAAGTAAGATTCATAGCTAAATTCTTGCCAACGACAAAGTAATATCATAAAAAGCAAGAAACTAAACCCTATCTAATGTACACCCCAAAAAGAAAAATTTCCTATAATTTTACCCTTGGTTTATCGAGCCAACGTTAGCACAAGGAGAACCGACTTGACTGATGCGGTGTAATTGCCGTACCAATCACGTTTGTCCTCCACATAGCAGCAAGTTCTCAAAAATTTCCATATGCGGCACTAATGTTAAGTAGAATTCACTGTATGCCTTACAGTCCAGTCATTTAATGTCGTGCTGAGGAATCTAATTCCTTCATTCTGACGCCCTTCCATTTCTATGACATGGGCCTCTGCATGTGTACTCCAGCAATCTCTTGGATTCAGTTCCAGACCCTAAGATAAAAATACCGTGAAAAAAATTAAATTGAATAAAAACAAAATATTATCGTCTGTGTGGCACAGAGGTTTCAATAAATTTCATTCCATACCCGCCTGTCGATGGTGTAAATAGGCGGCTATGCCCCTACAAGGCCCATAATGACCCATTCCCTCCGGGGAATCTGCTCCCCCAGAGGAAAAAAATTGAAAGTTATAAGCACTCGTCAATATCGTTCCTGACCAGTCAAGATGCTGCGTTTGTTGATAAACAAAGGAAGTTCGAAAACCAATGGCAATGAGAGGCTCTCGTTACAAGACCTCTTTGCCGCTCGTAACTCAATTGAGTAAAAGCTAGACGCGAAAACCAAACACAAGAGCCTGCTCACAGGCTCAACAGGCGGCAGTAACAAGCCTTCAGGCGGTGGTAAAACACCGGTAGCCTGCTTTTATTAAAACCAATGCAAGGGTAGATCAAGATATAATCACGTCAGTTGTGGATCGCCGCGTTTAGACTGCATACATGTAGACCTCTTCAAGCAGAGAACCAAACTATAACATTGAAGTATCACACGAAGCCTGGGTCTGCTACCCAGCCACGATCTATACTACCACTCAGATATAAATTAACTTCGCAGACGCATTTCATACGCTCAGACACACGGTAGTCAGACGCGCATATACGATTTTCATGCGCGCACGGACAAAAAAAATGCGCGACTTATGTGCCTTTGTTATTCAGTGCTATAAGTTTCATTTGTGTTACATTGATGTGTAGAATAATGAACTCTTAGGTTCGACACGTCAGACAGCCACACCAATGATACATGTCTCAAATGCTGCTGACTCTGTTATCTAAAACGTTTAAGAGCTTAGCAGTTACAAACTTGCTATCAAGAAAGTTTTAAAGCTAACCTTAAGTGCATGCCTCTCTGCCTGTTTGTAGAATCCTGTCTCTAGCAGGCCAAATGCGTACATTCCGTGAAGATATCTACAGTTGAAAGAAGAGTAAATCCACGTTTTATCAAAACAACAATTGTCAATACAAACTTTTATCTACAAGTATGCGTGTAATAATGGTCAATATGTTCTTGGCGTTAAGCTTTATAACCGTTTGAGTTACACAGTAATTGTATTTGAGGAAATAAATAACGATGAAAAAAATGAGACGGAGATGTACATGTACTCTAACGACACACAGTCGCGTGTTTTGTGCATGAAATCATTCCTTTTTTGGATGAATATTATTACATTACAATGATAATTAAAAAAATAAAATGAACAAACTATAAACTCATATTATTATTTTTTAATCAAACACTCACAGAGCTTACAAGAGTTACTTCTGATTCGATTATTTCATCTTTATCAGCTCACCCATAGAGTGGCATGTTTTCCTTCCATTTCGGCATCACCCGTGCAATGGAATCTCTGATCTGAGGTTGGTATCCAAGGTAGAAGTAAGAGTCGTGAGCCATTTTCAAAGCGAGCATGTCGGTTGGGTTCTCCACTAATACATCTTCCCATGTTAGACATGCTTGTGCAGTGTTTCTAAAGAAATGAGAAAAAGTAAATCGTCAGTATACTAAGTAATTGCTTACAGCGCGGTCTATAACGGGGTACCTCTTATAGGAAAAGCCTATAAGATGTGAAGGAAAAGCCTTGACAAGAATTTTCATCTCAGGCATATTCAAACTTTCGTCACAGGCCTTTATTGCTGTCCTCGTCGTTTCTGAATAATTCAAAGACTTTTGAAATTGATATTAACATAGCTTCCAGGTTATATACTTATGTACTTGTAACTTGTTTACAGTTTCTGCTTTGCTAACTAATAAACAAGACATCAAATGCATTCCCCTGCTTCCCTGTCTTTGAAGGCACTGCACTACAAGTGGCTGAGGGACAAGAGACACACTGGCAAAACCTAGATGGTTGAAGAGGCTGATCTCACCACATCCCCTTGTTTTCCTCCTAATGTTTTGTTTCTTGTGGTGCACTGCCTATAACAACCCTGGTCACAACTTAAGTTTTGTGATAAACTATTGTGCAAAATAAAAATTCTGTAACCAGCTTCAGGGAAAGTGGACAATATATGTTTAGTCATTCTGTTGGTTAGATGTGTCTCAAAGAAAATAAAATACTAGTTTAAATAAAGGTAAAAATGCTGCCTCAGTGGTTGAAAATTAACAACACTCACCCTTCAGCCCATTCTTTCACTGCCTTGACATGCAGTCTCTCTCTGTTTGTGATGTTACTTTTGGCAGCTAACCCTTCAAGGGACAGAATGCTGTTCTTCAGTTCTTCATCTGTGTGAATTCCTTTACCTGATGAGATCAGGTCTAAGCCACAAGAGATCACATGACCCATCACTGAAACAAAAACAGATGATGTCTGTTAAATGGGGCACTCCACAAAAATAATATTGTAATAATCTTTCAGAATGAAGATTTGGTTAGTTGGTCATTGTGATAAGCCAGATTCTCCAGTTTTCTTCGACTGAGCCACAGACTCTCTCTCTCTGATGACTAAGGCAATTTCTAGGTTCAGATATAACATCTATCTAGGTTAAGATAGTCAGATCATTATCAGTATCTGGGCAACTGCCCACCTACCCCTCCCCTAACCCAACATTAATCCTAACTTGTCATCAATTGACTGTTGTTGGGTTAGGGGAGGGGTAGGTGGGCAGTTGCCCAGATACTGATATTGATCCAGATAGTCAATGTCAAGAGTGCCTATTGTGTACATAAAGGGGGTAAGTTTCTAAAGAAACTCTGGTGCTGTGTCAGTGGGAGTGCTGATGAAGGCTAATGCTAATTTACATTATCAACTCAGTTGATAACAATAAATGACCCTATTGTGTTCAAAACAGAATAAGAAAGATCTTCAATCATAAATATGCTACCTTCTTCTCTAATTGTTGATGCAAAAGTCAGTCACCACAAGGTATTCCTAAATCACCCAGTCACCAATATGGTAATAAAGCACAAAAGCTCCTCAAATGTTTGTACTGTAACAATTGTTGTTGTTTGTGAAGGAATAGTGTCTAATTGGGCTTTAGCAATCATTTAATAACAGGAACTAAGAGAAGTGCAGAGACTTCCCTAAAATGGCAAGGAAGATCCAGGGAATAACAAGTTCTATAATTATAATTTTAATTTAAGATGTTGAAGATATGGTAATAAAGCACAAAAGCTCCTCAAATGTTTGTACTCTAACAGTTGTTGTTGTTTGTGAAGGAATAGTGACTAATTGGCCTTTAGCAATCATTTAATAACAGGAACTAAGAGAAGTGCAGAGACTTCCCTAAAATGGCAAGGAAGATCCAGGGAATGACAAGTTCTATTATAATTTTAATTTAAGATGTTGAAGAGAAAAATTCTCACCAAAGTTAGGATCAGTTGCTAACATCTTTGAAACAGAACCCTCAATTCCATCAACACTGCTATCATCATACCATCCTGTGTACTAAAAACAAAACAACAAAACAGAAGAAATTTTCTACCATGAAGACATTAGTTGTCAGTATGCTTTACACATGTTTCAAGAAAATGCCTCACAGAAATTATGGCACAACAAAGTCATATTAAGGGATTCTATGCACTATAATTTGCAGTGATGACAGTACATTACTAGTCTGATTCTCATATGACCCAAAGTCACTTGCCTCTACTGTCATACCCAAGGTATAACCCATACTCATTCTTCCAGAGTCCACTCAATTAATGATTATACCTAGAATATGCTACAGGAGACATGACCCTTAACCCTTCAACTCCCAGAGGTGATTAACAAGTAACCTCTCCCAATAATATCTTAACATTATCCAGCAAACAGGTCGTAAGAATATTCAAACTCATCAGGTTGAAGTTGTTATCTTGATCTGACACCAAATTCTCCTAACTTATTTACAAGGAAATGTGTACCAGCTAGAGGGAGAATTAACAATCAGGTCTTGGGAGTTAAAGGGTTGAAGTGCCTGGGCAGTAACAAATTGCACCTCTTCCAAAAACATGTCATTATAGCCCATTTAATGGATATCAGAAATACACCCAAAAAAACTGATTTAAATTTGTGACTAGCAACAAAAAAAAAAAAAAGAAAAAAAAAGGAAAAAAGATGCAAATATTTTCACAAAGATTTTCAATGTCGTACCTATCAATTTAGGTAAATACACTTAACCCCCCATTAATATTAATCTGAGTTTTTGGTGTTCATATAAAAAAATTATATCCTAATATACTGTAATTGTGTTAATTGCTAATTTCATTATTAAAAATTTTCTAGTTCTGTCAAGATACTCATGATTGTAAACCACCCCCAAAAAAGTAAGTTAACTAACTTAAACCAACCTGTGTTAAGGTAGCATCAAACATTTTTGCTGCCTCATTGCTAGTTGTTGTTAGTGACAATCCTTCACTTCTCCAAGCCTACAGGTATGGGAACAGACAATCAATGATTTGCTCCAAACTAATCCTCATTAAAACTCACAGCTCAAATCCTCCTAATTCTCCTTCAGAACAAACACTGGCTTGTTTTGAATTGTCTTCTCATCAGCCACTCAACAAATTAAACTCTGTTCTGACTGGCTGTCATCATTACTTTGACTTCCATTTTACAACACTCAATGAAAATGCTGTACCAATAGCAATTAGCATATACCACACTAGTGAATAGTGCTTTTCCCGCACTCTGATTGGCTAGTTTGGTTACTTCTCAACTCTGAGAAACCAATGAGGCAAAAGCGAGCATCAACAGTCTAATTTCCAACCATTTTTCAGTATATTAAAAGAAACAAATTAATTTGCGGATAATCTAGAGTCCGGATAATCGAAAATATGAATATTAATGAGACAATTGAGTTATGATCATCTTGTGTGTCTCATTGAACTGATCAAGCATGACATTACCTTGGCAACAAAACAATACTGAACCAATCAAAATTCAGCTGAATGCATTAGAATGCTTCTTGACTCTTTCTGTCTCCGAGCACTCGATCTTTCGAAAGCAGAGCATGTAATGCGCTGTTTTAAACACAATTTTCCTGACTTTTAACATAATTTCTGAATTTTTTTACCTCCTAAAGTTTTTAACATCAGAGAACCAGAGAAAAAGTCCAGATAATCGAAAAGTCCGGATAATCAATGTCCGGATAATCGAGGTTCGACTGTATGAACCTCCATTGACACTTTGATGCAAATTGTTAATTATGAGTATATTAATAGTGTAACTGAACTACAAAAGGCAATGATGCATCTTAATTAATATTTGTAAATCATTTTAAATTAGTTTATGTACTGAACAGTACCCTGTCTTTATCCAAAAAATATACAAGGTGCTATCAAAATGAATAGGTAAGGCATTGGCCCAACAAATAGTCCAAAAATGCTAAATGCCTGGCACTACAAACCTAATTACGGGTACTCCATGCTAAGAGATTCTAAAAATCATGTCAGAGAACAAATTTTCCAAGATCGTGCACACGCAAAAAATCAAGAGATTTAACATTAGTGATTTCTAGGTATGCCTCAGTTATAATAATCCTTCAACTGAAAGGAAACAGGAAAAAAAAATGGGATCCGTTGACATTTCTAGACCACTTGAAGCTATCGAGGAGTTTGAAAGAAGCTTTCAGTGAAAAGTGGACATCGTAATAAGCGCAGTGTAATGTAATTATTACTGAAACTGTGAAGTGTTAGATGTCACCATTTTTAGCAAAAAAAAAAACAAAAACAAGGAGAAAATTCGCTCAGGATTCCTAGGGGAGGTAAATGCTGAACCGGTAGTAGAAAAGCATTTAGTTCAGGCCTATCCATCTTCATTGTCAGTTTTCCCCCCAGAATCTTCAAACTAATGATTAACGATTTAGTACTCGCTCATAAAGGTTCGGGGAATTGTACATCATAGGACGATCGAAACATTATTTATTTGAGGATAGCTGGCACACATAAACTGTACGACCATCACTCTGCATTACGTTGACTTACTGTAGTTATTCGGTTATAAGGCGCACCGTTTTTTTCAAGAAATTCCTAATTTCTGCTAAAAATTACTGCCAAAGTTTGGGTGCGTCTTATAGGCGAATATTTTCCCGAAACAATTTTTTTTTAATCACAGTTACCGGTACGATTTCAAGCAAATAAAAGGACACACAGTGTTGGTCATTGACTTTTATAAATATGGTGGTTCTAAAAAGACGAGCGAAGGGCGCGTGCTTAGTAATTTGATACGTCACAAAACGAAACGAAAATAAACAAGCGAAGAGATAAATACCTTCTTCATCCATTCAGCCTTTTTGTGACCTGCATTCTCGGCGGTACGTAAATTCTTGTGCGACAATTCTGCTTTTGTTAATTAACGGTAAACTAAAATCAATACGCGACTTTTTCGCTTTTTTGTAAGTTTATGAAAGAATTTACAATAAACTTGACCGATCTTTACTCCCCAAAAAACGGTGCGCCTTATAACCAAGTATTTTAGCGATATTTTCAGTTTGAAAACAGGCAATAATGAAGTTGCCGAATTGGGGGTGCGTCTTATAGCCGAGTGCGCCTTATAACCGAATAACTACGGTAGTTAAAAAAATTTTCTGCTAAAAGATCAAACCACGCGTTCTTTACTTACGTCAAGATCCCTCCAGTTACTATGCAAATAAGACATTTCGAGAAAAGAAAATCCAGTTTTTAGTACGCACTGTTTCTATGTTAAGCGCGTGGACACGGAAAAACTGCGGCCCACTGTAACGAAGTCAGCGGTGCTTATTGGGAAACAAGAACAAAAACTTGAACCAGAAATCTGGAGTCGGAAAGCGTGAATTGAGGACAACGGAATATGCTCGCGGTGCTGCCTTTCTTTCTTTTTGTTTTTTTTTTTTTTTTTTTTGCAATACTTTACCGATAACTACTTTGCACCTCATTCAATTTTTTCATTCGGCTGTAAACCTTTATTTTTCGTGAAAGGTTCCCTGTTGCTTACTCGGGATAATGGAACGCATCCAAAGCACAGAGAACAGAAATGAAATGTTCGGTAATGAATACAGCAATCCTATTCACAAATATCCCTGGCAAATAGGTCCACATCAGCTCAGCTGATTTTAATTTGATCCTATTGCAGATAAGTATGTATGCAAGTATAGCTTGTTCTCACTGGATTTTGGAGGCATGCTCAAGCTGCTTTTGCTCCATCGTTAGTCTCGTTTGTCTGCAAGACTATGGGAGGGGAAAGGAAAACATTAAAGAAAAAAATAAAGGTTAAAAAGATGCAATTTGATTTCAGCGATCCACTTGCCATTTTTATACCAAGCTAATAATAACAAAAATCATTGTGATGGTATGGAAGCCTTTCCTGTTAATAATTAAAGTACGTTTACGTCAAGGTTTGGATTACGGAAGATGTGAAAATCAAATTCGTGCGAGCTCTGACTACACTCCTTTAGCTACAATGTAAGCCTTGCTGAAGGAAGTAAAAGAATGTTTAGATCCTGGAACATGATTCGATTCTTAACCATAATATAGAGTTACTCGTTCTAGCACTAACACCAAAGTGTAAAAAATAAGGAAGTGGATGTTAGAGATGTGTTTGCTGTGAGCGGTTTTCACGATAAATAAAGCATTGCATTTATTTGAGCATTAACCACAGGATTTAGGATCACAAATACTTGCAGAGTCAACCTATGGCGAGCTACAAATGATTAATTTACTCTGCAGTTGTTATTGACTCGAAACTGTTAGAGAAAGGATATAGCTCCACTTCATTAACCTTACGGAACTTACCACAGTTAAAATATACTGAAATAACCGAGGCTTTTTGAGCTTCAGCAACACAGTCATGGACCAAACAGATGTCAGTTATAAAGGAAGAAGTCACGGAGCTCCACATGACATGGAGCCTATTAAAAGAGGGATCGGCCCACTGGTAGCTCAAACTTTACGCAGGACGATATGGAGACGACTGATTTGATCCTACGTTTTACCGTTTTGTTCGTTTGCCTGAAGATAAATCTGGTGTCCGGTGGTAAGTTCAAAGCCATTGTGAGATTGAATCGTACACCTTTTATCAGGAAAGGTTTTTTTCTTTTTTAGTTCACTAATCAGCTTTTGCCTCTATCAGAAATTTTTGAAAGGTCTGATCAAAAACCTTGTAATGCTAAGGAAGTTTTTCTTTCAAGTACCGCGCACATTAATGATGAGGTTGATTCGATATCATAAAATCTGTAGTAATCCTGAGAAAGTTAAGATTGAAACACTCACTCATGATCAACCCTAACAATGGGATCTTTTGATACCGAAAATAACAAAAGTTGTTGACGCTTCTAACAAATTTTTAATGGCACGATCAACGTTTATTTACGTGATTCAATGCCAAGCGTAAACGAACAAGAATGACAGAGGTCAAAGAGGAGGTGTAAGATAATATTCCAATAGGATTGGTCAATTTATGTCTACAAAAATCTTTATTATCCGATTGCAGAAAGTAGAGTACAAATAACGCGCAATTAGAATAAAACATCCTGCGATATTGAACTGTTATTTGGGTAGATGGTAATTTTGTACTGTAAAAAAAACCTGTTTAACCGGTAGGCTGCGCGCGTTACGCTTCTCTATCCGCTTTGCTTTTCCCGCCTTATGAAAAATGAGCAGAGAGACTTAACAGAAAAAAAAAGCAGTTGAATAATAAATAACTCTTCAGACGTTTTGGTGTGTAGTGTCGCTCAGTATTTTTTCGAGTTGTGCATTTGTTTCAATGGCACCACAAACGAGAGAATAAATTTGTTGTTTATCTTTAATTTTTGACAGCACCGAGCATAAAAGCTGGAAAGGATAACGTGACAACCAACTCACCAGGCTTATTTGGTTGCAAAAAGATTTACTTTCAGCATCCCTTCCATGGTAAACAGCAAGTCAAGATATTCGCCTCATTTGGACATAATATAGGAAGTTCAGGTCACCGTTATGGTGGAGCTGTCTGGGTGGAATCTGTTTCAACGAGCGGATTTACGGCCTGTGTGTTAGAATTTGGAGACGGATCGAACAGTACTTCAGAAATCAATTGGTTGGCCTTACAGTCTGTGCCGCTAGGAACTCAATCAGAAACCGTCCACTTGAATGCTTGGACCACCGGAAAAAAGTGTACGACAATCAAATTTAAACAGGTTAGATTTCTTAGATCTACTTGCCTTCGGCAATTGTGACAAATGAATGTTGCTTTTTTTTCCATTAAAAAAAAAGCTAGACTTGGGCTGATCACCTTTCCTTCTCTTCGTCTTAAATCTCAATTCTCCGAAATATTTACAACGTTTGAAGAACGCATTTCCGATATTAACGATCTTTTTTTTAATTTTGGAGATCGAGTGCAGTTTATCGAAAGGCACAAGGTTGGAATCTTTTTCAAAGATGTGGGTTTCCTCAAAGGGATTTAACGTATTTGCGGAAAATTACCTTATTTTGACCTTTTAAGTCGTGATCCTTTTTATGTCAATAGTCAACTTATTTCTAGTCTGTATTATGACTGGCAGTTAAAATCCTTACATTTATCAGATACACCTTTACAGGTAAAGATGTCTAATACTGCGTTTGACAATTTTCAGCGTTTCAAGACCTCACCAACCATTTTAGTTGCTGTCAGTCACGATATTTTAAGCAGACCTCAGGATGCTATGGCCGTATGGGTAGAGGACTTGAAGAAGGACAATTTCAAAGTCTGTCTCAAAGAAACCAAGCTTTTCGATGGAACGCACAAGAGCATAAAAATAGTAAGTGAATGATTGAAGTTTTTCTTTCAATTCCTCAAGTAAATTTTTATTTCGAGTCTTCATATGGACGGTATGGGTGGTTGGAGGAATGAATGTTATTGCGTGACCAATTGAATGACTGATGGCTTGATTCGTTTGCATTGTTTATCCATTTATTGTTGCATTCATCATTTGATCAACTTATCGACTCGATTATCAAAATTTTATCATATACATTTCTTTGTCACTTATCACACCTTTTTTTTAATTTTGTTTCACTTGAACGAAAATTTCATAGAACTGGATGGCATTTACTACTCTGAAGATTGAGAACGTCACCTCTTCAAAGAGTGTGTTGCTTCATAATGCAAGCTTAGAAAAGCACCATGATAACTACGCTTATTGCCAAGTAAGGTTTTAATTAGCAAATCAACAGAAATATCTTTAACAATAGCGCTGGGATTCACTAGCAATTATTGTTTTTTTCTTTTGTTATTGTTGCTATTATTGTGATCACTCAGTATCAAAATTATCATAATTAATATTTTTTGCTTAATATTTAACAATGCCTACACTATAGCCCCATTTAAAAGAAAAAAAAAGCAACAACAACAACAACAACAACAACAACAACAACACCTTTAATTCCAGGTCCATATTTGTGAAACTTAAACACGAACTCGTTGACCTTTGTTTTTTCTTGTCGAATTGGAAGTATGCAACGTTTGTCGACAAGACCTTTGGGGCAGGTGCAGAAACAATTCGATTTTTCTTAATCTGCTCAACAGATCTTTTGAAAACGATGCAGAAATACGCATCCTGATGGCGGCCTACTTGCACGTTGATGGTAAATAGGGTTAGATGCACACATTTCTGGGTTACAAGCGCATAGAGTTAGATCCAGGGGCGTTTTTGGGAACTGTTTTTTTATTTTGTTGTTGTTGTTGTTGTTTTTTTTTTTCAAGATATTGCCCAACTGACCCTAAATTTAGATGTCAGACGATGCAACATAATTTTATCAACAGACTTAAATGTTTACATTTCAGACTATAAACTTCACCGATCCATTTTATGCTCCTCCGGTTGTGGTAGTGACGCCCAGACAGGGTTACATGAATAACTACTCAGGTGTCTCTCGATCTCAGTGTAATGCCATGACAGCATGGGTAGAGGTGAGTTATCAGTGTTGTACCGCCTTTGTTAAAGATTCTCTCGTTAAATTTGACTGAGATCGTGTATTATCTGCAAACAATGAGAATAAAACTGTTTAAAAAAGTATATGTTTGTGGGCTAGTCACGACACACTAGGATGCTGTATATTCTCCTTTCCGTCTTGATTATAGTACTCGTCCACCGAAGATATGAAAGTTTGTGCGAGAAGCTACGACGGCGATACCTATGGCGATGATATCATACGAGTTGATTACGTAGTCGTCGGAGGTTGGTGTGATTAGAAAGGCATACCATGGGCAAAACAATGCATTTATTGAACATGTAGGCATTCTTTACTTGAGATAGCACTAGAACTGAAATTTGCTGCCGTACGAAAGCCCTGTTGCTATTAAGTCACTTAGAACCGGTTATTTAAACAAAGTTTAGCCGTTCTTTAACAAAACCGCGTTCTAAATCATCTTAAATTTAACTGCATCTTTCATTTAAACATTTATTTTTATGATCAGTGTCAAGAGGGCTAAAAGTGGAAAGAAATTTATCTGATAAAAACAACCCTCTTATAGATCATGATACATATGGCCCACTGCTTGCGTAAAAACGCGGTTTCAATTAGACCTCGAGTAAATATAACCTGCCCTAAGTATCTTATCTACAGTGTAATTCTTGTTACTGTGCCGGACTGAAAGGGTTCAGAAATAGAGATAAGATCTCTAGCTGTGTCCTCAGTATCGATCACGATACCTTTATCCTAGAGTTTCTTCCCAGTAAGATTCACCTCAATGAATTATGGTCGGGAAAAGACTGAAGTAATTTTCGCCTGTTTTTATACTCACTAGACCTGGATCCCTGCCTAAACGTCACGTGTTATTTCCATGGTCTTTGTAAAGCTTTTGGACCCCATGATGCTCGTTGCGTGTGTATAGACCACTGCCCTTCCTACCACGAGCCCGTTTGCTCATCAAACGGCACCACTTACGACAATGAGTGTTTGTTTAAACAGGAAATGTGTCGCATGCGACTTAGCTTTACAGTGCAACATCCGGGTAGTTGTGAAGGTAGGTGCGCATCTCTACTCCTCATGTTACTGATTGCCGACGATGACCGATGTATCGGTATCCTATAAAATTAAACATTCAGCCGTAAAAAATATAATATTTGTTGTTGTTGTTATTATCGTTGTTTTCATTTTACTTCTCGTATTTTAGCTGAAAATTAGAACTGGTTTTACTATCATTTTTATTTTACTCTACTGCCATTGTCATTTTCGTTTTCATTGTCGTTGTCGTTATCATTGTTATTAGCATTGTCATTGCTACTGTCTACTGTCTGTAATTGTTATCATCATTATGATCGCTATCGCCATCGTCATTTTCAATGTCATGGTCATTGTCTTTGCCACTGACATTTTCATGACAACTCTCCTTGTTATTGCTATTATTATCAGTGTCATTGTCACTGCTATTGTCATTGTCATCGTTATTGTCATTGTCACTGTCACTGACATTGACAGTTTCACTTTCACTGCCACTGTCTTTGTCACTATCACTGTCGCCGTCACTGTCATCGTTACTGTCACTGTCACTGTCATTGTCATTGTCACAGTCATTGTCATTACCCCTGTCAATGTCACTGTCATCGTCACTGTTACTGTCAGTGTCAGTGTCACTGTCACTGTCACTGTCACTGTCACTGTCACTGTCACTGTCACTGTCACTGTCACTGTCACTGTCACTGTCACTGTCACTGTCACTGTCACTGTCACTGTCACTATCATAGTCATAGTCATAATCATAGTCATAGTTATAGTCATAGTAAAAGTCATAGTCATAGTAAAGGTCATAGCCATAGTCATTGATATTACCATCGTCGTTATCTCTGAAATTGACGTTGCCATTCCGACCGCCACGGCCATTTTCATCGTCTCTATCGCTGTCACTGTCATTGTTAACATACCTGTCGCTCTTCTTGGTAGTGTCTATGTCTTTCTACGGTTTTTTGTCGCAGGATTTCCTTTCCAGAGAGGTCGCCATCACATGCCTCATATTCCATCACTTGGATATTCTCATTGTGAGATTATTCGTCTGAAGCCATTTGTGTTCTATCCTGACAAACCCATTGAAGTGCAGGTAACGGTCAATCATATTGACACCAGCGACAAGTTATATGTTCATGATGCTGCTGTTTCGTGGGTCGAGAACATCAGTACCCATCGATTTACTGCGTGTGTAATGGCGGCAGGCTTCAACGAACGAAAATCGAATGCGAACGTAACAGTCGATTGGATGGCGTATCAGGGAGCTCCGGTGGGTGGGGTAGCGGGAAAAGAACGGATGTCAGAATGGTGGACTGGAACGACCTGTAAAACTGTGAATTTTCCATCGGTAAATAGCATGCTTTTTTTGTGTCTACTGGTGGAGTCTTTTAATTAATTATGACAAAATCATGGTTGTGTCAAGCTACAAAAAGCCTGATTTTTTGTTCCTGTTTTATAACTGCATAAACATACATAAAAAAAGATATGCTCTTGTAAAGCTCTTCGTTCTCTAGCGATGGGCTAGAGCAAATTCTCCGGTGATTATAAAGATGCACGCGCTGTGGTTGGCCGAGGATCATGTCATATCTCGCTATAATCACCTCGCGCGAGATGATTATAGCAGGAGCGCTAAATTTAAAAATGGCTGCCTTGCGTTTTGTCAGCGTTACTGAGAACGTGATCAACACGATAAAGAAAATAAAATTTCGAAGAGTGCAAAAGACCCTATTAAGTTTGGAGTAACACTTTTCAAAAGAGAGATGTTAAGGTTTTGCTGATCAGTTGAATTAAATGAAACTATCAAATTCCAATGGAAACTGGTTCTTTATCTCGACAAGAGTAGTCAAAACAACCGAAACAGAATTATTGCAACATCAAGATGAATATGTACAGAATTCAAAAGCACCTAAGCAATTATACTAACACAAATGTTCGCCTCGGGCTCAGTGGATATTGTTGAATAATCCCCGCGACTTCGTCCCGGTGATTATTCAACAATATTCACTTATCCTTTTAGCGAATAATTGTTAAATATTAAACAAATAGATTCCACGTTGCAATGGAACGCTGTAGTTAGTAATAGACAAAAGATGAGGTCAAAATGAGGTAATGAAATCAATGACAAGCACAGCTGAACCTCGAATGACACTTCGTTTCTTCTTTCCACAGTCATAAGTAATCTTTTACTGAATAGACTCACAGTAACACGAAAGTATTAGTTAAGCAGAGCTTTATTTTGAATACGATAATCTTATCATCGACAAGCAAATTAGAGGGTTGATCATCTAACAGGGATAAGCTATCTAACTAGCCTTTCATTTTCAGGGAAAGTTTACCAGTTCACCTTCCGTATTTGTAACTGCCGAACATCATCATGTTGGGTTGAAGCGCGACGCAGCTAGTGTCTGGATTGAAGATGTCACGCAATCCTCATGTAAAATTTGTTTAAGGGAATTACAAAACTACGCAGGATCCCACAAAGACATTTCTGTGGTAAGTCATTGGTTTAAAGGCTTATCGATCGCTCTCCTATCCAAACAGCTGCTTTCAATTGTACTCATTTACTTCGAAGGTACTTTCCTTACATTCTAGAAAAGAAATGCTTTCTCGGTGGTGCAATTCCCAAGTGCTTTTTTATTCGACGCATGCACCACAAACCTAATGATGTTTAGCATAGAGGTTACTCCAGTATCAAAAATGGATGCCTATAGCAACATAAAGTAGAAGAATTCTTTCAACTACGTAACAATATTTTACACAGTGCAATTAAATGCAATGAATAACAATTACAGATAATGCAAAATATGATCACTGCGTTACACTGCGACCATTTTAAGGCAAAAGATTATATATTATTTATTTGTTTAGGGATCTTTTAGCAAGGAGTGGATCCCAAAATAAACACCATTACAACAGAATGCATATTAGAGTGTACTTTTAGTCGTATTTTCATTTAACCATTATGCGCAATATAAGATTTACTGAGCATTCTTGCATTCTTTCTTATCTATATTAGAATTGGTTCGCGTTTGTGGATCTTGACAAGCCTCCCTTCCTGGAACATAGTGTTATTCACTTTATGAACAACAAACCCCCTTCTCACGATCAAAATGATGCCTTCTGCAAGGTTAGTTATCGATGGAAAGTTTTAAAATATGCCATCGGGCATAAGATCAAATTTCCAATTTCCGAAGTTGTTTGGCTCATGGGAGGTTTATTAAGTACAAATTGATCAGTAATCATAGCCATATCCCTGCTGTCCTCACGTTCTACGAGGGAATGACGAAAGTTGTAAAGATCTTCTCTAGGGCACATATTTAAGCGGTGTGCACACCGATCCCAGAATATATGTAATTTATCCTTTTTTTACAGGATGTTTCCCTTCTCCATGTTTATCATACCGTCCCAAATGTACTTGTGTCTGCTAATCACTCAACGAAGGGAGGGAACCTAAGTCCTGTACACAATGGCATAACTTCTTGGGTAGAGGTAAGATAAAATTTTTAACCTTACTTGGCTTCTTTTAGGAAAACTGAACAATAGTTACCGTCTATCCAACGACAGTGAGGATAGATACACAGCAGCCAAAAAATTAGTTTATTTATGAATATATACCGAAACTCCTAAAGCGCGATTTTGTCTCTTCGGCTGCTCGGAGGTCAATAATACTTCTTTATCACTTCCATAATCAAGAATAAATAGTCCATAGTCAAGAAGAAAACTTTTACATTTATCATCTATCCAACGACAGTGAAGTTATCTATTTTTTCCAGTAAATACCACACAGAAGCCGAAAAATTAGTTTTCCGGAAACTCCTCAAGCGCAATTTTGTCTCTTTGGCTGCTCGGAGGTTAAAAATACTTGCTTACCACTTCTGATTCAACCAAACAGCCCGCGAGAAAAACACTATTTACCCGTGAGGTATATGCTAATGACACATACATGAATCACAGTGTCAAGTAGTTCATTCTGATGACAGTAATCATATATACATATACACTGTATTTCGTTTATTTTATTTTCTACAGTATATCAACAAGACTGGCTTTCGTGTTTGTTTTAAAGAACTGTTTGAAACAAGATACGATCCTCTTTCTATTGTTTACACTGTCATGTCAGGTAAGAATTTGAAGTACAAAATACCATCACAAGGTAAAAGTTTAAAAGCTTTACCGATTATTTTTCTCCCATAAAGCACAACATTCATCATAGAAAGTAGCTTTTCATAACATAACTGGAACAGACATAATAGCATCTATACGAACCACGAACTAATTCTGCTTCATGCTTGCGCCGGCTTACGTACCTATTTGCATTACATACAGAGGTATGCCAGCTTGGATGGGATTATTTCAATGGCTACTGTTACTTCACAAGCTCCAATTGCTCATCGTGGCCAACTGCTGAAAGAAAATGTGCTAAAATGGGTTCACATCTTGCGACAGTCCATGATCAAGAAGAAAACGTTTACATTCAACATCGGCACAATGGAGAGAAATCCTGGATAGGGCTCAATGATCGAAGCGTAGAAGGATCATTCGTGTGGACAAAGAAAGGCACAAGTAGCTTTAGATTCTGGGCGCCAAACCAACCAAACAATTATACGGATCAGGACTGCGTACACACTCTTGGCGCAAAGAATGAATACACTTGGAATGACGTTTCATGCGATAACTGCTTCAAATTTACCTGTGTTAAAGGTAAACAACTTAACATACTTGAACAGAAAGGCTTTATCTTGAGCCTTTTTTCAGTTTCGTAAGAAATTAGCAGACCATTTTACTTCACTTAGCCGAGCGCAATGATCGCTTTTTAGCACATAAACCCTAAAATTTGTGTACTAGGTGGGGGAGAGAATAATGGTAAGTGCTCATCGATGACTGTCATTTTAATGAATCCTGTGATATTTATGCTGCATAGTAGATTTTTTAAGTGGAATATGTTTTGCATTTAAAGACATAAAAGAATGCACAAACAAGGCTCATTGGTGTAATGTCAATGCTTTATGTCAAAATACTGAAGGATCGTACATATCCGCTGGATTACATGCACACTGGAAAAAATTATCTAATAGAAGTGAATTTTATGATCATCTTTTAAAAGCACTGTCGTTAATTACACTTTGTAGCTTTTAAGAATAAATTGAGGCCCGTGAGCAATCCTTGAGCAATTCGTGAGCAATCAGTGAGCAATCCGTGAGCAATCCGTGAGCAATCGATGAGCATTTCCCGGTCAATTAATCCGTATGTAATCAGAAGATACCACGTTGGCAATCTTTGGACAATCTGTGGGCAATCTTCAAGCAATCTTTGGGATTGGGGTTCCTGGTTCGTTGAGATTACTTTTTCCCGACCCGCTTAGCCACGTGTAATCAGAGCGCGTATATTGTCCCCCACAAGCTATTACCACTTAATGACAAGGTGCAATGATAAATGATGTCAAAGCGGAGTATAATTTTTCAGCGGAATATCATTTGCTTTACAAGATATAAACGAGTGCACAGTCAAGTCTGACCGGTGTGATGTTAATGCTGCCTGTCAAAATACTGAGGGATTCTACAAGTGCATTTGTAAGACTGGATTTGAAGGAGACGGGAAAAAATGCTCTGGTAAGAAAATCATAATATCATCTTAAACAATGCTGTCTTGTATTAATGTAGCCATTTTTGTGACCTTGAAGAATATCGTCAAGACATAATGTTTTTTGTTCTTCTAGGTGTTTTAAAAACGAATCAGTAACTAGGTTGACATGTTGATAATGACCCGCAATAAAACGTTGCTATAGTAAGAGATGTACATAAAATCTAAAGTTTAAAACTCTGATGTTTTAGTTAGAATCCAGGCTGGTTTTAATCTGCATTCTAAGGGCGATCTGTGGGCAATCCGTGAGCAATCTGCGGGCTATCCGCAGGGAATCTTTGGGCAATCCCTGGGCGATCTAAGGGCAATCTTTGGGAAATCTGTGTGCAATACCTTAGAGTTACCACTAATTTAGGCTGGTTTTAATTTACAATCTGTGAGCAATCTAAGGGCAATCCGCGGGCTATCCATAAGCAATCTTTGGGCAATCCGAAAGCAAACTTCTGGTTGTCTTTGGGAAATCTGTAGGCAAATATTTGGGAGTTACTGGTTCAACTAGATTACTTTTGCCCGACCCGCTTAGCCACGTGTAATCAGAGCGCGTGTTTTGTTGCCCACAAGCCATCGCCACATAATTACAAGGTGTTACAATGAATAAAGTCAGAGTAGAGTATACTTTTTCAACGGAGTGTTATTTGTTTTCCAAGATATAAACGAATGCAACGTCAACTCTCATCGCTGTGATGTTAATGCTGCTTGTCAAAATGCTGAGGGATCCTACAAGTGCATTTGTAAGTCTGGATTTGAAGGAGACGGGAAAAAATGCTCTGGTAAGAAATCATAATATCATCTCAAACGATGCTATCATCAACTGAAATGTTAGGTTGATTGGAAAACAAATTATAGCTATTTTTGTGACTTTGAAGAAGAACGTCAAGACATGATGTCTTTTACCTCGGCGTTTTAAAAATGGATCGGTAACCAGAGTGATTCATAATGACCAATAAAACGTTGCTCTGGTTGGAGATGTATATAAAACCTAAAGTTCAAAACCCCGATGTTTTGGCTAATATTTAGGCTGGATTCACAAAATTAATTGATGGCTTATGTAATGTGCAGAGAGATTGCGATTAGGAAGTTTTCTCTCAGTTACTTCGTTTAAAGATTTGATTAATGACTTGTAACAATTTATTGCCACCTCACGTAGTTAAAGTTCCTTGGGAGTTTACAACGAGGGGACGAAGTGGAAGGTATGGCGTTATTCAGACTTTCACTGTTCCACGTACGACTCTCTACCAAATAAAGGCCTGGGGAGCTCGTGGTGGAACACATTCATACAATTATGGATATAGACCTGGAACATACTATGGTGGTAAGGGAGCATCCATAGAAGGAAAGTTCAGATTGAATAAAGGAACAGTGCTGAATATTGTGGTTGGACAGCGTGGTGGAAATTCAGTGGAGGTTAAAGGTGGTCGATCCACTTCGTTAACAGCAGCTCAGCTGGGACTGTCTGTAGAGGACAATGCTGGAACTGGAGGAGGGGGTGGTAGTTTTGTCTATACCACAAGTAACACCTTGTTATTAGCTGCCGGAGGAGGTGGTGGTGCGTCCGCTGGATATAACGGTGTGGATGGTCAGGCAGGAACAAGTGGAACCAGTAGTGTGGGAAAAGAATCATCACAGGTTAGGAAGGGAGGCACAAGGGGGCAGCCAGGTGAATGTAACAGTGCAGATGGAAACTACCATGGGGGTGTAGGTGCTGGTTGGTATGGCACTGGTTGTACCCGAGCTAGTTCTCAACACGGACAACGAGGTGGATCACGTGATCAAGGCTGGACTGGTGGTCAAGCCGGTGGCATGAACAGTGGAAATAACGGCGGACCAGCACCAGGAGCAGTGGGAGGTTTTGGTGGCGGAGGTGGAGGATCAGAGGATAATGGTGCATCAGGAGGAGGTGGAGGGTACTCTGGGGGAGGCAGCGGTACCCACGAAAGCCAGGCCGGAGGGGGAGGGGGTTCGTATTGCCGTGGTCAGGATTGTTTGGGTATAACTGGCGGTAACCCCAATGATAACGGACTCGTTAAAATTATTGAGTTATCTTCATAATCACTAATCACCAAAAGGATTTAAAGTTGAAGTTGTCTGACAAAGATTTGTGTTAAGCCCTTTTCTCTCACCAAAATAATAGTAAAATATGGTTATACACAACACTTTTATACAATATTTCCCTTTCGAAAATCTTTTACTTAATAAAATCACCGGAAAAGAACAAAAATAACTTTAAGGAGGGTCCCATTGGGATTAACTGTTGGCCGTAAAACGGTGAAAACTTTTAGCTGTTAGGCGTAAAATTAAACAACTTTTATTAGTTCTCTCTGAACCGTAACGGAAAGAAATTAATCGGTAGTTGTAAATCATATAAACTTTTAACCATTAGCCGTTAAGGCCATTATTCCGGCCACTGAAACTCTATTTTAAAAGCAATGGGTCGGCAGTACACAATTAGCTCCTAATATTGCTGTGCACTAGTCGTGTTGCTAGTACTGACGAGCTTGCAGGGAGATTTCTGTAAGCCATTTACTGAACTTTTGCATTACTTTATCGACTTTCAAAAGTTTACTTTTTTTCGCGAGCCGCAGCAGGTTTCGTAGATGCAAAGAATGATACTGTAATAGGAAAGTAGTCAAGTTTATTAAACGCTGCATTTACCAAAAGTCGTGTTTCTCTTCTTCCTCTTAAAACAAACTGCCGCTTCCATGTCAAACGAGTGTCTTGCAGCAGAGTATTCAATTACAGAAGTAATCCCTTTACTATGGGATTAAATCAGGTTTCATTCACTTTACGATTATTTCCTGATCATTTCAGGACCCAAAATCAATCTACAATTTCTATTCAACTAGGAGTATTCCGTTAGCCCTCGTCAGAGGGAGTGACAAAGGGCTAACGCTCGAAACGTCAGCCTTTAAACTATTTAAGGTGGTTAATTTATCTTTTAAACTGGGTTGGTAACACTTAATTACCCAGTTATACTCTCCCACCGACGCAGCACCCCACTTTCTTTAGAAACTTACCCCCTTTATTCATTTTTCCTTGCATCTGATGGTTCCAAGAGGTTCCTTTTTTTTTAAATTGTTCGTTAAACTTATCATTCCTACATCCCCATGCGACCAATTCTTCCAACAACTCAAACACTACAACTAGTGTTCGAATTCCCCTCGTCGATTCCACCGTAAGAAATAACCTGTGCTACCCAAGCGTCGACTCGAATGTGAAGTACGAATCAAATAACATAGTTGCTTCATCTTAGAGGCAATACCACGCTGGTATTTTGATTTTCTGATCGACAAGAACAATAATCAAGAAACGATCGCCATGTTTACCTCATAAACGTGACCGATGACCAGCCGCTGAGTGAAAACAGTATAGCGCGGGGTGAGGTGGGTGGCCGGCTTATCACCATAAGATATTCGAATACATGCTTAAAAAGCTTCAGGACTCCCAGTCTAAAAGGCATGCTTCGTGGTACAGAACTGTTATTTTATTCTCATAACTTTCTACTTTACATTAGAACTGGTATTAATTAACAGAGTTATCAATATATTTTTAACCGGGTTACCCATATGACCTTTTTGCTTGTCATCAGTGATATAAAATAAGGTGTCTTTTCCACCAGAATCCTATGTTTATGTCCCATTGCACGGAATGAACACCATACTTTGAATGTTTGCTCTAAGTCGTTTTTGCAGCTCCCATGAATGTATGCAAAATGATAGAGATTTGATTCAGTTATGGCGCGTGCAGGTTTTTATCTATTAAAAGTCACGCGCGCAACACACCGGAATTGAAAATTCGTTGTAAAATCGCACGAACCTTAGAATGAGTGTGGGCAACTTTGACTTCTGGCGAGATGAAGCCGGTGGATGGTAGATTTAGATTATTTTCAGGACTATAACTGAGATTTGTTTATAACTATGATGATCGTCATTAATAGCGGACGGTACTTTTTATTCATTGTTGTCATCATTATCGTTATCACGCCAGAAGAAGTATAAAGTCGGCACGTTGCCTTACCTAACTACACAGAAAGTTGTTCTCTCTTTTTTTCCCCTTGGATCCTGGAAACTGTTACTATTAAGACGATCAACAAGAAAGCCTTAATAATTACTGAAATTTTTGATTAACAGAATGTAAGAAAAAATCGGTGGGGAGAGTAATTCGCGTATCTTATAATCTGAACGATAGTTTTCAATAAAACAACTACCACTTAATTCTATTTACCTTAGTTGTCTAGTGTTTAAAAGTGGCGTTTCTGAGGACCGTAGAATCTTCTCTGATTCTTCTTGTCTCAGCCAAGACTCACTATCATCAACTTTTTTCTTGTGCTTCTTACAGCATGGAACACAGAGAGCTGAGGTAAGCGATTTCAAAAGTTAAAGTGAAGCGCAATAACATCCATCAGGAATTGAAAACCTACATGCACTGTTTACTTTTATTATTCTTAATCAAATAAGGGGTGTTATAGTAGACAAATTTAATCATACTGGTTAATCTAATAATATGAACATGGAGAAGCCACTCCACGCGAGACTCTTGTCTCGCGTCTTTGCCGCTTCAAGCTCTCAGAGTTGGGGAAAGACAAGACACGTTGCTTCTAAAGCGATACAAGAGGTTCAATGGTTATCTCGATTATCTAAACACATTTATTTACAAGGTAAAGATTTGTTTGTAAATCTATGAAATGACGCCAGTCCTATGTGGAACGAAATGTGCTTGAAAGAAAAAAAGAATACAAAGCAAAGCAAAAATTGTATGCAACACGAAGCATGCCTTCGCTTTAAGACTGAGAGTCCGAATACTTATTATGATACTTTAATGCATAAGTTCGAATGTTCTCAAAAATCCTCTGATGATCTACCCGCACCCATCCCACACCCCGCCCCTCACCACTGAGCCGTACTGTTTTCACTCAGCGGCTGGTCAGCGATCAGTTTTATGAGGTAAACCTGGCGATCGCTATCTGATCACCGTTCTTGTCGATCAGAAAATCAAAATACCAGCGTGATATTGCCTCCAAGATTCGTACTTCACATTCTAGTCGAAGCTTGAGGAGCACAGCTTATTTCTTACGGTGGAATCGACGAGGGGAATTCGAACACTTGTTGTAGTGTTTGAATTGTTGGAAGAATTGGTCGCATGGAGATGTAGGAATGGTAAGTTTAACGAACAATTTCAAATTTTGCTGCTTGAATTGAAAGTAAAGTTCATTTGAATTGCTTTCGTATGTATTTCTGACGGTTGTAGGTCTACCTGATTGATTTATATCAGTTACGCTTCATGTTGACAAGTCTCTCAAATGGCGGCCAAACTTAAAGATTGCCGAAAATTAGGTCAGTTCAGGGAATTATAAAGTTTTCGTAAAGGTCGGGCTGCAAATTTTTTTTTCTGTAGTAACCTTTTCTATGGCACCTACTCCCTAGCTATGTTAGTTGGATCGGTTAAGAATGCCTCACTTTTTCAAAACTTTACCTTGAATTTGATCGGTTTTGGCGTGTGTAACTTAAGCGAACCGATAAGTTGTTGTTATTAAAGTCTTCCTGTTTCCTTGATTAAAACGTGATGTTCACGAAAGTCGCCTTGACGGATAAGATGGAGTTAATATACATGGCTGTGGTATTTATTTTTTGCTGAGTTCCGTATTTTTTTGTAAATTGTCCTCCAAAGTGTCACGACACGCCTTCGCTCGAGTGAAATTTAATTTCCGTAAAACTCTGAAGAATAAAGAGATCCGATCAAACGGATTGTAGTTTTAGTATAGGTACATGAACGT